AAGCATTTTATGTCTAACCAGTTTCACTTAGAATAGTATTTTCAAGGTTCATCTCTGTTGCATTTTATCACTACTGTACTTCATTTTTATAGCTATAGTCTATATTGTGGTTTACTCATCTTTTGGTAGACATTTGGGTTTCTGCTTTGTGGCTATTGTGAATAAAGTTGTTGGGAACATTCAGACGCAAGTGCTAGTGTGAACAAATGTTTTTATTTGTTTTAGATATCTACTAGAAATAGAGAAACACTTTCCATAGCAGCTGTACTGTTTCACACTTCCATCAACAATGATGGTATGAAGATTCAAGTTTCTGTACATCCTTGCTATAATTTATTAAAATTCATTCATCAAGCTTATAAACCTATGTGTGTGTACAGCACTGTATATACTATCTAGCAGTAACATGCATTTCAAGGAAGGAAAGGGGAAGAGTCTTTAGGAGCAAGTGTTAATGCCGTAGAAAGAATAATAAATTTTGAGGTTTTCCCAGGGTAGGACAGTTTACTTCAGGTAAAGTATTAGAGGATTTTTTTTTAAGTTGAATTTTGGCCAGGGATATAGCTCATCAGTACACAGCACCTGCCTGGGAAGCATTGGGTCCTTAGTTTCTCAGAATCCAAAAACAAAAAAAGGTTGAATCTTGAGAAATGAGTAAAGACTTACTTCTTTTCTGTTAGTCTGAGAAATTTAAATCCTCTTCTGTGGTTGGTGGAAAACCAGCCATTTCTGAGCAAGATAATTATACAGTATGATGGAAGAGAGTAGTAGGATCTAATCTCAGACATTTTTAAAAAATTGGTGAGTGGTTGATGGGGCTGGGGATTTAGTTCAGTGGAATAAGTGCCTGCCTGGCAAGCACAAGATCATGAGTTCTATCCCTGTACACTCCCCCCCCCCCAAAAAAAAAACCCTGCAAATTATTTTTTTTAAAAATTGGTGAGTGGTTGAAAGTAGGAGAACCAGATGTGGTGGTGCATGCCTGTAATTCCAGCACTTGAGAGGCTGAGGCAGGAAGATCACTGGGAGTTTGAGGCCAGTCTAGGCTATAAAGTGAGTTCAAGGTCAAGCTGAACTGCATAGTGAAACCCTGTCTCATAAGACAAAAAGAAAAAATAGAATGACAGACATGGAAATGTTAGTGAAATAGAGACTTGGGAACCTTTTGGTTTTTATATTCTCCCCATATCTCATCCATTCCACTGACTTTCTCAACATTATCCACCAAGTATTGATTGTTCCCAGAAACCTACGTTTCAAATAAACACTTCTTGCCAGGGATTTAGCTCAGCAGCATAAGTGCCTGCCTGGCACTTCTTTTGGGTTCCAGAGCACATGTTTGGTATCTTACATTTAAATATTCAAAAAGAAATCTTGATTACTCCCTCCATTCTAGTCTTTCATGTTTTTAAAAAGTTCTAAGATATTTTTAAGTGGTGTATTTTTCATTTTTCAATTTTCAGTAAGAACCAGACACTAATTAGTTATCTGTCTTATCGAAAAATTAACCCTAAAGATATCACCAAAACTTTAGTTTAGAATTTTACATGGCTAAGTATGTTTGACTAACATAAGGTAATATTTTTGACTAAGAGAAGATAAAACAAAATGCTCCTAATTGCAGCATCCCAATAATCACTGACTTTCAAAACAGGAATTTCTTTAATCTTTTCTTCTTACTTTCTATGTTCCTCTTTTTTTTTTTTTTTTTTTTTTTTTTTTGTCTTTTTCATTTTTATCGGTACCAGGGATCGAACTCACGACTGCCTGCTTACAAAGCAGGCGCTCATGCCGCTGAGCTAAATCCCCAGCCCCTCTATGTTCCTCTTTACTTAGATTTCCATTATGATAACAAAGTATCTGAGATAAATCAGCTTATAAAGAGGAAAGGTTAATTTTGACCCAGGTTTAGACATTCTTGTGTATGACTGACTGGTCATTGATTTGGGTCTGTGGCAAGGTAGCACATTGTGGCAGGAGCACATGGCAGCAGAATTGCTTACCTCGTGGCCAAGAAGCAAAACCAACCAAGGGAGATCCAGCATCCCATAGTATCCTTTATATCATATTCCCAGTGACTTGACAATCTCTTAGTAGGACCTGCCTCTTAAAGGCTCCAGTACTTTCCCAAGACCACCGTGGGGTCCAGGCCTCAATGGACCTTAAGTGGAATTTAAACATCTAAACCATAGGAGTTTCTTTCATCTGACTACTATGAATTATTATGCATCTTCTTTCTACCACATACTCTCTTCTTGGGTGCATAGGCCGTATTCTTCACTCCAACCCATTCTTAAATTATACATAATAGCGGTTTGTTTAATGAGGTTGGTTAGGTGAGTAATTGTTATGGCTTATATACATCTAGAACTTTCATACCAGTAGCAAAGCTTTGCTAGTTAATATTTCTTCAGGAAACACTGCCTGAAGGTTTAAAAAGGTAGTGTCAACTGGGAAACTGGAACATGTCTAATATCTAAACTGGGAAGTTGTTTATGTTTATAATTTGAATTTCTTTGCGTCTAAGGTTTTCTGTGCTTTCAGTCAAATTATTATGACAAAAAGTATGCAGCAATTAATTATCTTTTCCATAAGAAATCTCAATTTTATATCCAGATGTGGCACACAACTATAATCACAGAACATGACAGGCTGAGGCTAGAGGATTACAAATTTGAGGCTATCCTAGAATACATAGTGAAATGCTGTCTGAAAAAAATAGCAACGAAGAAATTATGACTTGATTTTTTTCCCAAAGAAATTATTATAGGGACCATGTTATCATGTATTTTTTGCTGGGAATTACAGGTATGAACCTTTATAAAAACAACTCTGAGTTATGCTAAAGAAACAGCTCACTAGCCTTTGGTTTCTATATTAGTGAATGTTACAGTCATCCACCTGATTTGAACAAGCTGGAAATTAGATGCTGTATTTTTTTTTTCATCCCTTATGTTCTGTCAGTATCAAATTCTGCCAGTTTTAATACTTTCTAAGTATTTTGTAGATTGAATTCTATTGATGTTTATATTAAAAGCTAATTTTCCCCCAGAATCTGTCTTGTAATTATGCTGATGAAAATCTATATACTGGCTACATGAATTGACACATGCCTGTAATTCCTGTACTTGGGAGGCTGACGTCAACTTGTAAGTTTGAGACTAGCCTAGGCAATTTAGTAGGACCCTGGCTGAAATTTTTAAAAGGACTAGAAATGTAGCTCAATACTCCCTGTAGATGCAGTTCTAATACAAGGGAAAAAAATCTGTATGTACACTAAACTAGAGAACCAGTACCCAGTAATTATTCCCTAACTATTCTGACTAGACTGGCAGAGAACTTCAGGCCTATGTCTATGAGCAAACCTGTCCTTTTCCAACTTACTTGCAAGATAACCAGTCTGCTGCCTGAAAAAGCAACCGACCCTTCTCTACTCTGGGCTCTGCTGTGAGCCTCTGCAGCTCTTACTAGCTTGACAATTCTTAGATTTTCTTCAGGATGGAGAAGTAGAGTGGGGATTGTAAGACAAAAGTGGTTTTTAAATTTCTACACAATATAGTCAGAGAATATGTTTTTTCCTGGGAAATGAGGTTTCATTTTAACTAATATGTAGGAAGTTTTTATGACTGTTCCATGTGTGCTTACGGGACATATAGTTGGTTGATACTTACGTATATATGCTTGTTCTATTACTCTTTTTAGACAGTCTTGCTCTATAGTCAAACTGGTCTTGATCTCACTCTGTGGCCCAGGCTAACCTCAGAGTGCTACTCCTTCCTATATGAGGGTTGGGGATTGAGCTCAACCATTCTAGCACTTGCCTAGTAAATGTGGGGCCATGAGTTCAATCCCAGGCACCAAAAAAAAAAAAAAAAAAAAAAAAGTAGCATATGAGAAATACAGAGAGTAACGCATATAATAAAGTCTTGTGTTTATTATTTAGCTTGAGAGCTAATGCATTACATACACTGTTAAATACCTCTAGTATCCTTTTACAGTTCCTTTCCCTTCATTTCCTCACAGATGTATTCACTATTTTAGGAGATTGAGGCAAAACAATCATAAGTTTGACCTTTTTCTGATAACTTAGTAACTAAGCAAGTCCCTGTCTCAAATAAGAAAAAGGAAAGAAAAAAAGGCCAGGGATGTAGCTCAGCTCATAGGCCTGGGGTTCAGTCCCTAGTATGTGAGCAAAAATAACTAAGGGTAGATCAAGATCAAGGCTGCCAAGTTAGATATATGAGAATTACCCTCCAAGGTAAAATGGCATTATAGATCAGAATTGCCCACAGATACAGAAATTCTCTTACATCAAAAAATCAGTTTAAGATGGTTGAAGCAGGAGGCTCACAGCAAGGCAGTTTAAAGGCCAACCTGGACTAGCGAAACCCTGTCTCAGATTTTTTTAAAAATGCCAACTTTTCAGCGCTTAGAAAAACATCTGGAGATTTGCCAAAGAAATTTTTATCATCTCAGTGCATATTAGAGTGCAAGAACTTTAAATTTCTAAATTGGTAACTAAGTATCCAAAAATAAGTATTAAATACATAAGGAATACTGTGGCAGGTATCGGTCTTGCTTTAAGCTTCTAGCTATGGATATTGTTAATTAGATAATGATTCTTTGATAACTTTTGGCACGCTATTTCATTTAGGAGAAAATCTAAATCTAAAAAGTTCCATTTTGTAGAACACTTGCCTAGCATGTGCAATGCCCTGGGTTTAATCCCCATCATACATGTACTCATTCACTCTGCTGTAGATAGATTTATTCAGTCATTCATTCATTTTCATTTGTGAATTACCTTATTAAGTTTTGTGTATGTAAATTCAAGAATCCTTAAAAGACTTATTGTCCACTTATATTGTTATACACGGTAAATTCCTAAATTAAATTGTGACTCAAGTAGTATCATTTAAATGTCTCATTTTTGCAATTGTACATGACAGTGATTTTTGCCCCTTGTGATTCTGTGTGTTATCTTGTTTTCTTATTTACAGATTGGTAGATTCGTGTGGCCTTTTAAATAATTGAATAATGATGAAAATGGATCCAAAATATTAAGTTACTTCTCCACCAAAGCAGTAGAAGATTCTTCATATCACCCTCCAATAGCTCAATTCAATTTTTGGAAAGGAGCAGAACAAGTGCAATACTGAAAACCGAAGAGAAGAAAACTTCATTTTGGGACTTCTCCTTGACTTCCCCTCTGCCCATCTTTCTACTTGTTTTAATTTTACTGCATTTATAAAGAGTGAAGACCAAAGAAATAGAATATATGTTTAAGAGCTGTATACCAAGAAATTTACCTTGAAAGCTGCTATTCTGTAGAGAGAAAAGTTTATCAAGTTCTTGTCTGATCCTTTTTTTTAAAACAAAATTTCTTAGATCCTTAGATTTTGAAGGTTAAGACAATTACAAACATATCTGCACGCTGTCTTTAACAGTTGTGTAAAAACAATGAGGTTTGTGTTTTGAGGGTTTTGTCATGTGTTGGGTTTACCACAGGAGTTGACTACTCCAAAGATTTTTGATTGTTTTAATACTGTATTTTTGAGCTATCTCCTTCATGACAGTACTTACCTACACATGAAACTATCTGTCTTTCTAACTATGACCTTGTTATGAACAGTGTTTGGCCTCACTGTGCAAATGTCCATGTATTATCTATTTAAGAAGCATTATAGTGCTGTTCCTCAAGGAAGTTGAATGAGGTGAACATAGACACAGCCTTTCCCTTACCCCTCTTTTTAAATGTAACAAATACTTTTTATGTTCCCCTCCCCCCTTCCCCTCCCCCTTCCCCCTTTTTGGAAACGTCAGGAACCTAGGTAGTGGAGGATGAGCAATTGAGGGGACTAAGAAAGTGAGCCACACGGATCCAGGCTTTTTCGTGCTTCATTACGAGGCGTGCTGCTGGCTGGGCAGTTTACGCCCCCTCTTAACAAGAAAACCTTTCGAGAGATCCAGCTAGTAACCTCAAGAAGTTCAGAAAACAGGACCACAGAGGATATACTCTGCGGTAAATACTCAGTATATGACTAACTGGGAGAAAACTGTATGTATATGTTCTGTGGAAAGTATGGTGCTTTCTGTAGTGGTTTTTGGTTTTTGGTTGTTTTTTTTTTTTTTTTTTTTTTTGTCTTTGGACAGTGTCTCACTATGCAGTTTAACTGGCCTTGAGCTCACTTTGTAGCCCAGGCTGGTCTTGAACTCGCAATGATCCTCCTACCTCAGCCTCTCATGTGCTGGGATTACAGATGTGTGCCAGCATTCCTAGCTTGGTAATGTTTAATTTGCAGAATACTGATGAAAAATCTCTTTAGATGTTGTCTTTGTTTTCTAGGGAGATCTGTTCTGCTTTTGCCAGAAGTTACCTAAGTGTCTGAAGCAGACTTCTTTTATAAATATCTATTACAGTTTTTATGTAGGCATTTATTATTCAGATTCTTCTGAGGTAACTTACTGCATTAGTTTTCTTCATATACCTTTGCAGACTCAGGGTACATTTTTCTGTTTATGTGTTTTTCATAGACATATATTTACTTGCTTTTGTTTATAGCCTCTCTAAAATTTGGCTTCTCATAAATAGAGACTTAAGAGGATAGAACTTTCTAAATGAGCGATCTAGATTCCTGTACATATTGAAATCAATGTCTTACAGGTGTGAATTATTTGAGTTGTGTCATTTTCAGATCCTGGCCATGAGGTTGGATGCCTCACCTTGCTGAAAAGAGACACTGGACCTAAATGGCGCAGCATGACTTTGTTCCTGCTTGGCTAAATTTCTCAACGCCACAGTCAGCTAAGGTATGTCTGTATTCCCTTGTTAACAACCCAAATACCAGTTACTTTCATCATTAGATGATCTATGGCCTCTTTAACATTTTGAGTTTTTAATATGTGTATCAGCCTTGTCTGAGGATTTCAAAAGTATTTAGTCATGTTCTTAATCTTTCTAATTGAGTAAAAGTAATTAGGCTTCCTATATCAGTTTGTACTTAATTTCCAGTATCTCATTTTTAAAATTATATTGTATTGCAAGGTTTTATCATTATATGACACATTTAACACTATTTGCATTACCTGCAGTCTACTTTGGAGACAAAACATATATGTTAATCTGTTGTCAAACAGAGGGGCAGAGATGAAAGGGAATGACCCTTGCTTGGGTTTGGACTTTTGGAATGAATGTGCATATGACTGTGGTAGTAGATAAGGGGGAAGAAAAGAGAGTGATTGATTACTCAGCTACTATATGGATCTCTTATTAAATCCTAGAAATTCCTTTTACAGGCATTAATCTGTTTTGTGATTAGGGGAAAATGTTTCATGAGGAGTAAAAACAAGTAGGAAAAATAATTCATAGGATAAGTGGTCTCCAAAAAATGACTTACTCTCTGTAATTTTCAGTGGAGATTTTGAAGATATTCCTGGTTTGATCTAAACACTCAATTTTTTTTTAATCAAAATTTCATTTTGAAAGCCAGGTATGGTGGTGTATGCCTATAATCCCAGCATTTGGGAGGCTGAGGCAGGATCATTATGAGTTCCGGGACAGCCTGAATTACTTAGTGAGACCCTGTCTCAACACCACTATCCACAAAATTTCATCTTCAATTGCCTTCATAAAACTTTTTAAATGTCACAATTGATCTAGCCTGACCCAGAATTTTACAATTGGCAGGCCAGAATTAGATGTAGGAAAAAAAAACACTTAAAAAGTAAGTTCCAGGGATGGTGGTTCATGCCTATAATCTTAGTACTCAGGAGACTAAGGCAGGAAGATCGGGCTTGGTTTTTGAGACCAGCCTGAATTGCATAGTGAGACCCTAATCCAAAAACAAAACAAAAAACTGAATAATTGATGAATAATTTTAACACAATGATCCTAAATAAAATAATAAGATATTGTAATAAACCTACAATAAGCAGAGTTGTTGGTTTGAGCATAAGAACAAAAATATAAAGGAATGAAACAGAAAAGAAAGTTCAAAAATAGATCTGGGTCCAGGAATTTAGCTCAGCAGGCACAGATGCCTTCCTGGCAAGCATGAGGTCATGGGTTCAATACCCAATCGTCCCCTCCAAAAAATACATCTGTACATATAGTTACTTGACTTTGACTGCCAAGGTGATTCTGTGGAGGAAGTGCTAGATTGTGTTTTGGCTGGTATAAGGTGATCATTCAGTCTTTACTTAACATAAAAATTAGTTTGATTTTTGAGTATAAACTAGATTCAAAAACTAAAACTATAAATGCTTTAAAAAAAAAGGATTGTAACTCAATGGAATGAGTAATAAAGACAGAATACCCACTATTACTGGAAATATTGATATTAAGAAAATAGATGTAAAAATGCCTGTGCCCCAACCTCTACTTTTCTATAAGTGCTTGTCAAACATACTCAGGTTAAATAGACTCTGATTTCTGTATTATTTAGGGTTCTCTAGGGAAAAAGAATGGTAAGAGAAGAAATTGTGGGCGGGGGAGGTATTAGCTTATAGTATCAGAGGCTCAGTAGGCTCACAGTGGCTGAAAACAGGCTGAAGAGCCAGGAAAACAGGTGGTTATTTAGTCTAATAATCTGAATGCCTCAGAAAAGTAGGTAGAGCGGGTGGAGAGTGTGTGTAACCTCAGGCTAAGGCCAGAGACCTAAAAACCCCCTGGAGAGCTGCTGGGGCTGCCCAAGGTGTATTCAAAGACTGAAGACCACAGCAGCAGCAAAAAATATACCTGCCCAGGAAGAGTCTAGCATGGACAAATGAGAGCATCCTTTTTCTGCTTTTTCTTTCCATCTGAGCCTTTTGACTAGTGCCACTTTTATTTAGTAGGAATCTTCCCTGCTCAGTTCCCTAACCCATATGCCAATTTTCTCTCTAGAGATCTCTTAATCTAGTGAAGTGGAAAAATAAAATTGACAATCTAGTACTATCATTTATAGCTAAAAGAAAGCCATAGAATAAATTTAGGTAAAATAGGAATAGACTTTAGAATTAACCTGTGTTTGTTAAACTGATCCTTTCAATTGTATAAATTCAAAGATGTAAATTCTTTGATACCTTTCTTCACATGTAAATTAGTAAAATGTTGTTGATGCTAAAATTACAGTATTTGGTAGGAATAGGATAAGTAATTTTTTTTTTTTTTTTTATACTGGGGATCAAACTCACGACTCTGCGCTTGCAAGGCAGGTACTTCTGCCACTCGGTGAAATCCCCGGCCCTCTAATGTTTTTAAAGAAGTATTTTAGGATGGAAATGCTGGTACATGCCATACTGGGACAGAGGGATCAGAAGTTTGAGGCCAACCTAACTGCATAGTAAGACCCTGTCTCAAAAGACAAACCTCAACAAACTGTAATTGCCTGTCAAGGATATAAAATACCCATTCTCCAGATATAGAATAGTTTACAGAAATAATAATGCTTTTTATAACACCTTTTAATTCAGACATTTTGCTTTTTCTTCTCTGTTGTAAGATTGTTGTATTTTATAGCACATCTGTGGTACATGATTACATTCATTATGAAGAGTTGATATAGCTATTGATGCTCCACCTTTTTCTCATACAAGCAATTGACATAGCCACTTTTTCTCCTCTCCAGTATAAAGGAAGTGAGTTAATTGAAAATGTAGCCAGTTGTCATAGTGCACACCTATAGCCTGTAATCCCAGCTCTTGGGAGACTGAGGCAGGAGGCTCACTGTGAGTTCAAGACCAGCATAGGCAACAAAGTGAGTTCAAGGCCAGACAGCACTGTACAGCAAAACTGTATCAAAAAGAAAAAAGGAGGAAGACAGGGCTATAGCTCAGCAGTGTAGTGCCTGCCTGGCAAGTGCTAGGTCCTGAGTTTGATTCTTGGTACCAAAAAGGGGGGCAGGGGATAATTAACAGTGTAATGTAGGATGTCTTTAACTCAGAAGACCCTTACAATACAGGTATTTATAATATGGAGTTCTGTCACCATTCTGATGCAAAACCTGATACAATATTAAAAAGGACTGATATGTTACTTACCTGTTTGTATCTTTGTACTTTATCATTTTAGTCACCTACAACCACTTTTGAAAAACACGGAGACCACCTACCCCGAGGAGAAGGCAGATTTGGAGTAAGCCGTCGGAGACACAATTCCTCTGATGGCTTTTTTAACAATGGACCTTTACGAACTACAGGAGGTGAGCTTTTTTTTTTTTTGATATCAGGATCGAATTTACGACCTCACACTCAGAAGGCAAGTGCTTGAGCCACTGAGCTAAATCCAACTTCAGTGACTAAGTTTAATCTACTACTCAAGAGGAAGCCCACACTGAGTTGCATGTTCCTCCTGAGGCAGGAGGCTCATAAAAATAGAATCTTTTGTTAATATACTTCTCAGTTAGATCCTATAGTAGTAATTACCCAACTACATTTGTTTTCTAGAGCTAACATTTTTGTTTTTAGTTTAAGGATTCATTTAGAAGTAACCTCTCAGGGCCAGAGATTTAGCTCAGGGGTTCAAGTGCTTACCTGTCAGTTTGAACCCTGGTACTTCAAAAAAAAAAAAAAAAAAAGTTACCTTACAAAAGAAAGCCGTATCTAGTGGGGTTTGTTTGGTGTGTGAACTTCTTATTGAAAAGATCCCTTGAAGGCCTTTTGCCATCAACTAAATCAGGAAGCATCTGGCCCAATGATTTTGGACCTTCCAGGAAGCAGACAAACTAATATGTTACTTTTCTTAACTATTCTAGATTCCTGGCACCAACCCTCCCTGTTCCGCCATGATTCTGTGGACTCTGGTGTCTCTAAGGGAACATATGCTGGAATCACAGGGAACTTATCTGGTTGGCACAGCTCTTCCCGGGGTCATGATGGCATGAGCCAGCGTAGTGGAGGTGGCACAGGGAACCATCGACACTGGAATGGCAGCTTCCACTCCCGGAAAGGCTGTGCCTTTCAGGAAAAGCCACCTACAGAAGTTAGGGAAGAAAAAAAAGAAGACAAGGTGGAAAAATTACAGTTTGAAGAGGAAGATTTTGTAAGTATGAAACATTAGATAGAGCTGGGGATTTAGCTCAGCAGCATAAGCACCTGCCTGCCTTGCAAGCACGTGGTTGTGAGTTCAGTCCCTGTTCCGACAAAAGGAAAGAAGTTGATTAGAAGACAATAACCAATGTTCCCGTGCAACTTTTAGCAAATCTCAATACATTTTTTCATCCTTATACCTTTAGAATTTGAAAAAAATCTAATTTTCCTTAAGTTTTATAAGATCCAATATCTAAATATAATTATATAAAAATGCAGTTTTGAATGTTAAATTGTTTTTTCTATCATAAGAAGTTTTTTCCAGATAATTTGCCTTTTCTATTCCACAGAATAATTGTTGTGTTAAAAGCATGCAATTTTGAGTAGTTTACCATTGCTTTATATTCATTAAAACTTAGTGCTATTGTGTGTTGAATTACATTCCTTTGGCCTCTAAATCAAAAGTAGAATTTTTAAAGTTCTTTTTAAAACTTAATAATTTAATCAAATATATTTAAAATACTATCATTTTAACATGTAATTACTGAGTTAACATGCATTTTTGTGCTAGGTCTTCACTGTATTCTGTATTATGGCACATCTCAATACTGTACAGGTTCCTGAGTACTTCATTACCTGTGACTAGATAATAGCACAACTAGTTATTTTTAAGTAACACATTAGCCAGTCTGTAATAGCCACTTTTAACAACACGTTAATAATAAAAGTCATTGTAAAAATGAGTCAAATTTAGACATTAATCCCTTTTCCCCATGTATAGAAAATTTCATAGGATCCTTGATTCAGATTACATGTATTAATAAAGATTTTTCCACACATTCTTTTTTTTTTTTTTTTTTTTTTTTTTTTTTATGTTTTTGGAGGTTTTTTTGTTGGTTTTGGTTTTGGTTTTGGTTTTGTTACCAGGGTTGAACTTAGGACTTCGCACTTGCCAGGCAGGTGCTTACACCATTGAGCTAAATCCCCAGCCCTAATAAAGATTCTCATCAATTTTCTTTGTCTTTTTTTATGGAAGTTTAGTTCTTTATAATTATCCCCATTAGAAATAAATTCAGTTTAAACTGAGTTCTACTGTGTATCCTTTAGGAGACCTAGTAGAAAAATGAATTAACCTAAGAAAAATGTTACGATGGCATTGTCTTTACTTAGTAAGTGATTTAAAGAGAGATTGGCTGTCAATACAAACCTGAGGAAGAATAGTTCAGGCAGATTATTTCACATTCCTGTTTCCATGATATATTCTAAAGTACTGTACACAGAAAACTATGGAGAAAATTACTTGCGAAATGTTGACATTTTGCCAAATACACTGTAGTCCATTCTTTAAGACATTACAGATTCCTATAGTTAAGGCTTCTTTAATCCTATTCTTTTCTTTCTCCCTAATCACATCTTGATTTCCTTAATTTAACATCCTCAGACATGGTTTGGATAAATTTAGTTCATGTGTGAATCAATAAATTCTGCATACTTTTAAGCTTTATGTTAATAGTAGGATATACTATGATTGCTTTTATCTATTTGGAATTCTTTGAGACCTGTGTGTTTTGATACCCAAGATCTAAATTTAGAGTTCTCAATCAAGGACAAATTTGTCCCCAGGGACCATTTGGCAATATATCATGGGAGCATTTTAGTTGTAACAACTGGAGATTGTGCTACTGACATCTTATATGAAGATACTGGGGATGTTGCTAAATACCTACCATGCACTGGACAGTATATAACAAAGAATTAACCAGCCCAAATGTCAATAGCACCATGCTTTTTTTTCATTATTATGTAGTAAATACCCTGTGTGAATATACTGAATTTATTAAGTCATTTTCTAGTTGGTGGACATTTAGATTGTAAAACATCTTACTTTAGAGGCTAAAGCTAAAGGATTAGAACTGATGTATTATAATTAGAAAAAGAAGAATCAAAAATAATCATTCTTAACAAAAGCAGATTGATGATTAATATATAATTTACTTGAGAGGAAAACACAAGCAACAGAATTGGCAAGAGAAGGTAACAAATTATTGATGCCAGAGATGAGTGAGAGATGTGGCCTTGGAATAGAGAATAATAGTTGAGATTTATGGATGGGAAAAATTACCCAATGAGGGTAATATATTAGTAAAAGGAGAGCTGACCTAGACTATAACCTGCAAAACAAGCAGTAAGAAAGGATTAGCGATCACTTGAAGAAGAAAAAGACGTAAAAAAAAGTTAATATGAAAATTATAGAGGCATTTGTGTCCTAATTTATGGAAGGTGTTTTGTTTTGTTTTGTTTTTAATGTCTATTTGAGACAGTCTCACTATACACTTCAGGCTGGCCTTGTGCTCACTTGTAGCACAGGCTGGTCTCAAACTTGCAACAATTCTGTCTCAACCCCCAAATGCTGGGATTACAGGTGAGTAGCACCACACTCCCACTAGAAGATTTTGTACATTGTTTTATATTAATCTTTTAAAAGTTACCTGTTAAAATAGTATTAGTATAATGTACCTAGTGCAAGCTGGAAATGGTGGTACAGGTCTTGATCCCAGCACTCGTTAAGGTGAGGCAGGAGGATTGCAATGAGTTTGAGGACTTTCTGGGTTCTGCAGTGGGTTGAGAGTAGCCTGAACTACATAGTGAGACCCTGTCTCAAAACAAAAACTAATGCTATGCTTTTACCTTAGACAAATTAAAAAATTCTAATTTTCCCTGAGTTTTTAAGATTCCTTTTTAGAGCAGAAGCCCCTCACCGAGGATAAACTTGAAAATACAGTCCAGATGAAGCTCCACAAAGACAGTTTTAGAGGCAAAGGAAAGGGAAAGATCAAATTAAAATAAAAACAATGGAACAACTATGACAGTAAAGATGGGAAACCACTGTTTTTGAACAGTGAAAATGAAAGTGTGTGATAGTAGAAAAAGCTAGCTAGACCTACATTCACAACTAACTGTGCATAAATAATGAACATAACCAAAACAAGATCAGATCCCTTTCTGTCTTACTGTTAAGATAGAAAAATACAGGAGCAGAATAATACCCCAACAAACAGTGCAAATTGCACCCTGTGACATTTATGCAAAACAAATTATAGCCAGGTATGGTGGTACACTCCTGTAATCCCAGTACTCCTGGAGGCTGGGATAGGACAATCGTTGATAGTTCTAGAAAAAAGGGTTATAATCTGCAATCTTAAAACTTGACCAAATGATATTAAGAAAATGGTAAAGAGCAACATAGTCCAGCAAAGCACAAAATAAGATGTTAGAACTCTGGAAAAAAAGATTTCAGAAACATGAAGACCAAATGAGAATGAACTTAGCCTTTCAAGGATTAGAATACAGAAATGAGGGGAAAAAATTTAATTGAAAGATAAATGAATAGACTACAGAACCGATTTAAAAAATGGTAGATGTTTGGGCTGGGATTGGTGCCCCATACCTGTAATTCCAGTACTTGGGAGGCTGAGAGGCAGGAGAAGCACTGTGGTTTAACACCAGATTGGGTTTCATAGCAAATTCAAGACTAGTCCAGATTATATAGCCAGACCCTGTGTCAAATAACAATAAAGACAGACATTTGGCAAAAAAAGATTTTATATCTACTGAAAAAAGCAGAACAAAGAAATTAACTTAAATACTAAAAAATACAGTTCAAGAAAACTTTTCTAAAACAAAATAAGCCTTATTCAAACAAACATCAAGTTGTACACAATGAGCACATACACTCTGGGAAACTAAGGCAGCAGGATCATGTTTTCAGGACCAGGTGGATAACTTAGGAATCTGGCAAGACCCTGTCTCAATGTAAAAAATTTTAAGGGGTTGGGAATGTAACTCAGTGCAAAGACCCTAGAATCAATCCCCAGGAATGTCCATACTTCCCCTCAGATAAAACTACAGATTGAAAAGACAGCCATAACAGCCAACAATGAAGCATAGTCTTATAAAATACTACACTTGTTGGGAAGCTTTAAAAAATTGATTTTAAAAGGGCTGGAGATGTAGCTCAGCGGTAAGACCCTGAGTTCAATTTCTAGTACTACCATAAAATAAGCAAAAAACTCTAGAACAAAAAAGAAAAAAACTCTTTCAGCATCCAAGCATAAAGACATCATTACTTGTAAGAGAGACAAAATCAGATGTACTTTGATAGCAAAACTTTATAATACAAATAAGTGGGATTGTAGTTTAGGTATTCAGTGCAAGAAAATGTAAGCCAAAGATTTTGGACTTCATCAGACTTAGCATTGATTATAAAGATCACAGACAAATACCCATATGAAACAACTTGAGATATTCTTCCCAGCATTTTTTTCTGAGGAAATTCCCTGTAAAATCATTAGTTAGAAAGATACCAACAAAAACAATGATGGTAAATACTAAGTATCTGATCAATGGCTATAGGTACAGCTCAGTGGCAGAATGTTTGTCTAGCATGTGCTAGGACCTGGTTTCAATCCCCAGGACTATCAAAAAAAAGTTAATGATTAATTGTATAACTACGATTAAGAGTTAAAAGAATGTATAGTATGTGATGGTTGTGTGCCCTTACAGTCTAGATGCAGTATAACTTTTAATAGAAAAAGGCAAAAAATGTATCTGCAAAAGTTGTCTTAGTAATCGTATTTGTTAGTGACATTGTTCTAAGACTGTATCAAGGCATAAAGAAAGAGACTGTAACATTCTGTCTTTTGTGTTTGTAGAAGAAAAACAAGATAAATGTTCTGAAGGAACCCCAAAGTAGTTAACTTGAATTGGAAATAATAAGTCATAAAGTGTTTATCCTGCAGACATCCTGACAATGATCATTTGACTTTTTAACTGTAATGGTGCAAAGGCATATTTGCACAACCATTTTGATTTTCAGTATAGTATTGAATAATCACTTGAGATATTCAGATAGATTTTGTTGGTTTTTGCCTAACTGTAGGTTGTGAGTAATTTAAAGTGGGCTTTAGTAAGTTTAAATGATGAGGTGTATCAGTGCATTTATGGCTTAATGTACTTTTAACGTATAATGGCTTTATCAGGACTTATCCCCAGTCAAAGTGGAACAAATGCATACATACATACATAGTTTATTTCAACCTCTGTCCATTAAAAGAACAGACAACTTGGTATCAGTAGACAGCCTAGTACCTTAAAAGATTGTAGTTGTGGACTGTCATTCCAGCACTTGGGGGACTGAGGCAGGAAGTTTGAAGGCCAGCCTAGGTTACATTAGTGAGACCCTGTCTCAAAAAAAAGAAGAAAGATTGTAGTCTTGAAATTCTGTTTTTGTACAGGATAAAAAAAAAGGTAAGTTTGGAATATTTTCTCACACTAGGTAAAAAAGGATTAAAAAACTGACAAGGTTATGTCCAAAGGATTCAGAACTCAAAAAGGTCTCACTACCCAAACACGGGACTATTTTAGACATCAGCTTACATCAAATATAGTCTGTAAGTTCATGATACCTCCCCAACCTTACGAACAAGAATATATTCTTTTTTTCCATGTAAACTGTACTGCTGAATCACCAGTAATAGATGAGTAGTTTTTTTTTATGGAGACTTAATAACTAACACAGAAGAAATTCTAAAATTAGATCATTGCTTTCCACTGCATGTTATATTTTATCCTGAAAGCATCAGTGTCTGTCATATCACAAAAAGAAACACAACTTGATGATAAGTATCTGCTGATGGAAGAATACTAAGCCACCAAGATGTTGCTGTGCCAAAAAGAGGGAGAGAGGAGACTTTAAATTACCTATAAATGGGGCTGGGGATTGCAAGTGTGTGGTCGTGAGTTTGATCCCTGGTACCGATTAAAAAAAAAAAAGACAAAAATCAAAACAAAAACAAATAAATTACCTATAGATTAAGTAGAGGTTGTAGAAAGTGTTAAGAATACCAGGTGCAGTGGCACATACCTATAATTCCAGCTACTTCAGAGATTGAGGGGAGAATTGAAATTTCAAGGACAGCCTGGGTAACGACTTGCCCTCAAAATAAAAAAGGATGTGGACTGCTTGCCTACAAGGCTCTAGATTCAATCCTCAGTATCACAGCACTAAAAAGTGTTGAAGGATACACACTTCAATAAGAGAAGGAAAGATGTAATGGCCTTAAGTCAATATGGTGGTTATTTTTAGAAGAAAAAGGTTTTCAGGAGGAAGGAGACTTACATCCAAGAAGCATGTGTATACTTCATATTCTCTCATTAATTTGTTCATTTATACAGTGTATTGGTAGACTGATAGCAATTTCTACTTGGTTTCTTATTCTAGTGATGCTCACATTGACTGGTTGAAAGATAGGTATTATTTGGGGTCCCACCCTTAGGGATTCTGGTTTACAAGCTCTGTAGTAGCAGTTGATTATCTTTTTGTTTCATGCCCCCATGGGCAGTTGTGATGGAAAGATATTTTCCTACTCTTTTACCCAATTGTAGTGTTTGGGATTGGGCATCATTGTGTATTTCTATATAGTAGAGCAGTCAGTTGCTGTTAATTCTCCATGTTTCCCTTTTATCTCTTCCTGGACTAAGAAATTGGCCTTCTAGTTGATATTTAAATCTCTAACCCTATCCTTCAAGCTGCTACCAGTGTGACTTTTTTTTTTCTAATTATCTTTTTGAGATAGGAGCTCAGGGTGGTCTTGAGCTCACTTTGTAGCCTAGGCCGATGTTGAATTTGTAAGAGTCCTGTTTGTCTCAGCCCCGAGTGCTAGGATTATAGGCATGAACCACTACACCGGTTTACAGTATGACGTTTATAAATTATTAATTGGTTCACATTAATGTTGTGCTTGAAAGATAGGTTCTCATTGCTTTTAGGATAAAATGTAATCTAAAGGATCCTCCACAATCTGGCCATTACCTACTTTGCACAACATCTCTTTCTCTATAAAAAGCTCCCTTCCCTCCCTATAAGTAATGATATAGAACTGTTTGTAAATTTCTCAAAAGTCTATTATTTTTCATGTTTGTCTGTTCATTGAGCTTTCTATTCTTGAAATCACCCATTTTACATCTTTGGAATTCATCTTTGAGGACTTTGAGATCTATCAGCAGTAATGAAGCCTGTCATAATAACACTTTACTTTTAAGTGGAATTATCTATTCCAGATTAGTCCTTCCCTGATGTGAGTTTTTATTGTAGTCCCTGAACCTGTTTTGGTACTTGTCTACAAGTTTATCATTATAGTATTACAGTGAGGACAAAAAGCTATTCTTGTCTTAGACTTCTAGCATACTCTCTGGTACATGATCTCCTCTGCCCTAAGTCTTATAAGTACAGTGAATACTGCACATTTTGCTGACAAGATTATCTTCCTTATATCTGAAGAAAGTAATCCACATTTAGCTTTCTGTGCCTCCTTATTTGGCATACATATCCTGTACAATAAGGAGACCTGAACATTTATTCTGTTTATTTAAAAGATAAATAAATATATCCTTCTATCAAAGGAAATGGAATGCAAGAGAGCCTAAAATTAACATAATACCTATTGATTTTTTCAATTAAAAATTACAATTTCGAATAAAGTTAAATTTATGCTGCTAATCTGTAACTATTTAATAAATTCCATGGTGATGGCTGCTTTGTGAAAAGTGTCAAAATGATCAACTTTCAATCAACCATTGATATGTTTTTTTTCCAAGCCTTCTTTGAATCCAGAAGCTGGCAAACAGAATCAACCATGCAGACCTGTTGGAACCCCTTCTGGAGTGTGGGGTAGGTATATTTTAGCATTTGATTTGATTTTATTTACTCCCCCACCCCACCCCTTTAGAGATAGGGTCGCACTGTGCAATTCAGGCTAGCCTTGGGCTCACGTTGCAACCCATGCTGGTCTCAAGCTTGCAACAGTCCTGCCTCAGGCTCCCAAATGCTGAGATTACAGGAGTGCACCACCACTCCCAGCTTGATTTTTATCATTTTAGTGCACACCTTTAAATATTTTTCTATTAGGAGGAGGAACAAACTTTATTGATTGCTGTTTTTTGTTTAGCTCTCTTTTCTTACCCATTCCACCTGTGGTAACTAACACACTTAATAGATCTTCAATAACTTACAAGGATAGCAGGTTGCTCTACCCCTCAGAATACCATTGACCTATAATTACAGTAGTTGTGTTGGAATGCAGACAATTGGAAGTTTTCCTGAGTTTGGAAGGAGTTTCCTGAGTTTTCCTGAGTTTTAAGTAAAAGGAGACTCATATAAATTTGTAAAGTTTATAAAGTGACTTTTGAATAAGCATTCCTATTTTACTTGCAACAGTTACATATTTTATAGGTTACATATTTTTTTAGTTATTATATTTTAAGTGTTATGATTCTCTCCTAAATATATGGCAGATATACATACATAGCATTTCTCTATGTTAACAAACACTTCAGAAATGTTCTTTGAGTGATGGAGTTGTATATAGTGGCAAGGGCAAGACCTAGGGTTAGGTCCCTGGCATGGGGCAGGAGTGGTGTAATATCACATTTTTTAATATACCATTTTATGGGGCTGGAGGTTTAGCTCTGTGGCACAAGTGCCTGTGTGGCAAGCGCAATGTCATGGGTCTGATTCCTGGTTAAACCCCCCACTCCCCCAAATACACACACACACACACACACACTCTCTCTCTCTCTCTCTCTCTCTCTCTCTCTCTCTCTCTCTCTCTCTCTCTCATTTAGCCCGGTTCCACAGACTCACACACACATACACACTCTCTTGTTTAGCCCGGTTCCAGTTAAATTTTTTATTTTTGGCAGTTACAAATGAGGCCTATTGTATAAGGCAGGGGAAATATAAGTACATACAGTAATACGTATTTGTTGGAAATAGTAGGACTTGTAAAAAATTCATAGATAATCCAGCACTTGGGAAGCCAAGACAGGAAGATCACTAGTTCGAGGCCAGCCTCAGCTATGCAGTGAGTCCAGGACAGCATGAACTACATAGTAAGACTCTATCTCTGTCTTCTGCCCCAAAATTAACAGATAAATCTATTTCAAGCCAAATCTGAATCCTTGGCACTTGAATCCTTGGCATTTACCAATTGAACTCTTTCTGCTCCATTCATAAAGTATGTTCAATAGCCAGGCATTGGAAGGGCTTTAACATCCTGAATTTGAATCCAGTACTTTTGGGTTGGGTTAAGGTGGTGGTTGTACCCTCTCCTCTCTTTGTTAATGATATAATTTGCTTGTTTGCCTCGTCAGTCAAAAAGCAGGCTCCTTTCCCCAATTACTTCATCTCTCTCACAGCCTATTGCCAGAAGGTCATATATTTGGATATATTCTGTTTTGGTCCATGCCTGATGGCACACACTATACATTATTCAGATTGCAGATTGTGTCCCTGAAGTGCTAACATCATTGTGCTTTGTAGCCAGTTTGTGAATTTTCTATCAGATACTTCGTATGTTGCCTTTTTTCAAGTTCTTAAGTAATGTCACTTTTGAGACTGTTAAGTACACACTTTTGAGACTGTTAAGTACACACCAGGAAATGTTTGTCCCTTGGTCTGTCAGTTCCTTTGTTGAAAGTGTGACCTACCTATAAACTGTGCTTTGTGTTACTCAACAGATTTGATATTCTTTTTGTCTCCACTGTTGTATTTACAGAAAATCCACCTAGTGCCAAGCAACCCTCCAAGATGCTAGTAATCAAAAAAGTTTCCAAAGAGGATCCTGCTGCTGCCTTCTCTGCTGCATTCACCTCACCAGGATCTCACCATGCAAATGGAAATAAATCATCAACCATGGTTCCAAGTGTCTATAAGAACCTGGTTCCCAAGCCTGTACCACCTCCTTCCAAGGTATGATTGGGAGTCAGCGTAAGCATTTTGTATAACAGAGGACTGGGAATAAATCAGAAAACATTTGTAAAATTATTTTTCTTCCTGTTCAATCGTTTACCAGATACTTATTCAGTACCTTTTCTGTGTGTAGTATTATGCCCCATTTCCAGACTGTAGCTGTGAACTGCATTAACTTTATCTCAGAAACCTGCTCCTCCTGATTTTCTCTTTTCATTAATAGCATTAATGTCCATTTGTCTGATCTGAGTTTAATATCTTGGTTGCTTCTATCCTAGTCCTCCTTCCCTTCCTAAATCATTCACCTCATTTACCTGTAATTAATTCAACCAATTAATTACAAGGTTCCTATCAGTTATTTATTGTCTGACACTGTTGTACACTATTTTCCCATCTCTGTTATGTTCATCCTCTACAGAACTTCTGGAATGATCCCATCCTAAAATGATTAAATACAGCCAGATATGGGAGCACATGCCTTTTGTCTCAGTTGCTTGAGAGGCTGGGTCATGAGAAACACTTGAGTACAGGAATTTGAGGCCCACCTGGGCAATATACTCAGCAGCATTTTATTTCATCTGTAAAAATAAAAATGGAATACATCGCATCCATTCTTTAGTGGCTCTAAATCACATATGGCTGAGAATCTTCTGTTTTTGTTTTTGTGGTTTGTTTATTTTTTGCCGTGTGTGTGTGTGTGTGTGTGTGTGTGAGAGAGAGAGAGAGAGAGAGAGAGAGAGAGAGAGAGAGAGAGAGAGAGGTGGGGGGAAGGGAGGGAGAGAAGCTAGATAATAAATATGTTTGGGATATATGTGATTTTTATTGTATATTGCACATTGTTTTTTTGTTTTTTGATTTTTTTTTTTTTTTTTTTTTTTTTTTTTTCCTTTTGAGACAGGGACTTGCTATGTAGTTCAGGGTGGCCTTGAGCTCACTTGCAGCACAATGTGGTCTTGAATTTGCAATGAGCCTCTTGCCTCAACCTCTGGAGTGCTGGGATTACAGATGGGCAGCACCATACCTGGCTTTGCTATTTTTAATTTTTCAGCATCCCTTTAAAAATGTAAAAATATTCATAGTTTATGAGCTATATAAAAATGCTTTAGATTAGGGCCCATGTTTGGGTTAAGCTTTGGGTTTTTTGAGACAGGTCCTCTTTTGTAATTCACACTGACCTTGAACTTTGTAACACAGGCTAGCCTCGACTGCCTTAGTCTCTTTAGTGATGAAATTACAGGCATGCACCTCCACACCCAGCACTGATCTTACAATAATGTTGAAATTATTTAGCAGTTCCATGTGTAATTCTTCAACCTAAGCTTAGTCTGTCTTTTCTATCTCTTTTCTTTTTTTTTCTTTTTTAAGACAGGGTCTTCCTATGCAGTTCAGGCTGGCCTCGAGCTCACTTAGTAGCCCAGGCTGATCTTGAACTCAAAACACTCCTTCTGCCTCAGCCTCCCAAGTGCTGGGATTGCAGGCGAGAGCCACCACACCTGGCGTGTCTTTCCTATCTTAATGCTTCTTTTTTTTGCTTCTGGGAAAATATCTTTAAAGTCATGCCATTCATTTTGTGAATTATTTTCTGTCATACACATCTGAAGATCTAATTATTCCATATATCTCTGTAATTATAAGCATGAAATAATTGCTTGGATGAATTCAACCACTGTAAAAAACATAATTAAAATATACTGTGTTATTAAAAGAAAAACCAATTGGGTACAGTGATGCACACCTGTAGTCCTAGCTACTCTGGAGGCTGAGGCATGACAGTTGTAAGTTTGAGACCAGCATATGCAATTTGGTGAGTTTAAAAAAAAAATAAACAGGGCAGGGGATACGGCTTAGTTTTGAAGACCTTGAATTCAATCCCTAGTCGTGCAAAGAAATTGGGATAGGTAGGACTCACTGCACATTAATACTCACTTTGAGCCAGGCATGGTAGCACACACCTATAATTCTAGCACCTGGATAGCTGAGGCAAGGGTATTGCCAAAGTTTTTTCCCAGTATTGGTGATTGAACCTAGGGCTTTCTCACTGAACTACATCCTCCACCCTTCTTCCCTAACTTGCTACCCATACTGTGAAAAAACCTAGAACCTTCACAGTGAGCTCCAACTCCAGCCTTGTTTTTTATTTTTGATTTTGAGACATGGTGAAATTGCCAAGGCTTGGCTTTACAGCTTTAACCTCTGGACTAAACCATGATTATCTAGCATTTACAGTGTCTGCCCTTGCCTAGAATGAGCTTCTTGACATCAAAATTCCTACAAAACAGCATTTTTCTGATAAGATTTATGGAAGTTAGGAATCACTGTAAAGTGAAAAACTCTGCCATGTGCAGTATTCCCACATGTAGTCCCAACAGTGTGGGAGGCAAAAGCAGGAGGGTTGTAAATTCCAGAGTTACTTAGCAAGGCCCTGTTTCAAAACTTAAAATACAGGGCTGAGATATAGCTCACTGTGAAGCCTGGGTTCAATCCCCAAAACAAGCCAGGCCTGGTAATCCCAGCACTTGGGAGGCTGAGGGATGAAGATCACTGTGAGTTTGAGGCCAGCTTGGGCTACAAAGCAAGGTGAAGCCCAGCCTAAACTGTATAGTGAATCCTTGTCCCAAAAAGACCAAAAAAAATCCCAACACAACAACAACAAAAGAATAAGGATTAAGTAAGTAGAAAATCTGTATCTCAAATTTGTATGTGCCTGTAAGTGCTTCAAGAACTAGCCCAATAGGGAAAGCTATTGAGAGCAGGTGTGTAATCCCAGCATCTAACTCAGTGCTAGAGTGCTTGCCTACCATGTGCAAGTCCCTGGTTTCAATCCCCCGTACTTGAAAAAAGAAAGCTTTGTTATTTTTTTAGCCCACTCACGTTTTCAAAAGCTTTGTAATTTTTATCATATCAGCAACTCTCAGGCTAACTGAATTAAAACTCATTTTTTGAGAAATACCTATTAACTTCCATGACTCTACTGTTTCCCATCAACTTTTATCCTTCCAATACCTAATTTTATTAGAAGTTTCACATCTTTCAAGCATGTTGAGACAGGTAAACTGTAGGAACTTAGGTTTCCACATAACATTTTACTCTTTGTTTATGCTTTTGTAGCTGAACTGTTTGTGTGTTTATTTTGACTGATTCATTTTATTCCCATGTAGCCCAATGCATGGAAAGCTAACAGAGTGGAACACAAATCAGGATCCCTTTCTTCTGGCCGGGAGTCTACTTTTACCAATCCAATCTCTGTTACCAAGCCAGTGGTACTGGCTAGTGGTGCAGTTCTAAGCTCTCCCAAAGAGGTAAAGATCATAGTTTTTCTAAAGTTGCCATTTCCCATATGCTTAGACTGAGATATACAATGTGAGGTGTAAATAGAATGCCATTTCTTTTTTGACTATGGTTACCCAAGAGTTCTTTACAAATGTCTCCCATTAGGATCTAAAAGTGAGCAGTAGCTGGGTGGAGTAAATGCTCTGGTAGATGAAGATTGTGTCAGACTGGTTATTTTGCTGATGACCATAGAAAGATCCAACTATATGCCAACAAATCTTGACTATAGTAGCTCTTCAAAATTACTCTGTTTAAATTAAAAAAAGCTGCTTGTTTTTTTGTAAAAGACAGGGATAAATAGGCTATCAGGTTCTAGAAGTGAGTGCCATATAGAAATAACTCAGAGAATCCAAGTTCTTGCTCTTTGCTGCTAGAAGCAACCTATTTGTGATGTTCCCAGAGTCCCTCCAGCACTACTCCTCCAGTTGAGATCAGCTCCTCTCGTCTGACCAAGTTAACCCGTCGAACCACTGACAGGAAGAGTGAGTTCCTGAAGACTCTGAAGGATGACCGGAATGGAGATTTCTCAGAGAACAAAGACTGTGATAAACTGGAGGATGTAAGAGCATAGAGTATTTTTCTTTTGTTAAATGTGTGCTTTTTTTTTTCTGCTAAAAGGAAAAAGAAGTAATAAGATTTTTAAATGTACATATTGTATGAATGAATGTTGGGCTTCTTGAGCCTGTGGTAAAGTGAGTTTAATATAATGACTTTTCAGTTCACTTGCTAGTGAAGACATCTTGATTACTTCCAAGTTTTCACAATATGATTAAACTATAATCATCTCTGCAAGTTTTTGTGTAAGCGTTAGTTGTCAGTTGCTTCAGGTAAATAAATGCCAAGAGTGTGATTGCTGGATCACAAGGTAAGAGAATGTTCTATAAGAAGAGATTGTCCCATTTGGCCATGTGTCCGTTTGGATCTTTATTTCTATACTGAAGGTTTGTTTTGGTACCTGGAATCGAATTCATGGCCTCATGCTTTGCCTTTAAGGCGCTGTGCATCTGGGCTATATCCTCAGCTCCTCTTAAGTTTTAAGAGGTTTTTTAAAATGTCTTATCTTGGGTAATACTACTCCTTCATCAAATACGAATTCCTTGTTTTGTTTTGGGTTTTTCACAGTACTGGGGCTTGAACCCAGGGCCTTTGTGCTGAGCTACAAACCCCAGATCTTCCTGTTTTTAATTTAATTTAGAGACAGGTTTTCACTAAGTTGGCCAGACCAGGCTTAAACTCATCAACTCTTAACCTCCTTAGCTCCCAGAGATCTTGTATTACAGGTCTGTGTCCATCTCTGGCATCTTTATTTTATCATTCATTCATTCATTCATTTTTGAGAGGTTCTTGTCCTGCAGTTCAAGCTGGCCTCAATCTCACAAGCTGAGGCAGAACTGCCATGAGTTCCAAGCCAGGCTGAACTACATACATAGTGAGACTTTCTCTCAAAAGGGGGGAGGATTTTATTATTTCTGAAGTCCAGTTTCATTTACCATTTTTATAGATCATGATTTTTGTATTTTAAAATATCATTGCCATAGTCAGGATGATCTGCATTTTTTTCCCTGTGTTTTCTGTAGTTTTATATGATTTTTTTTTTAATTTGGATTTCAGATTTGCCACTCAATTTTAGTTATTCTTGTTTAGGCTATAAGATCTGTGTTTGCGTTTGTTTTATTTTTTTATTCTGAAACAGGATCTTATTACATTGTCCAGGCTAGAACTTGAGGTCCTTCTGCCTCAGTGGCCTGCCTGCCCCCGATTCCCACCCCAGTGCTGGGCATATGGTGCCTCAGTGGCTTGCTCTAGGTTTTTAATAAATCCTGATGGCGCTAATGTATCTAATTCTCCAATTTTGTTCTTCTCCTTCAATTTTATGTTAGCTATTCTGGGTCTTTTACTTTCAATATAAATTTCAGAAACAGTTTGTTGACACAGAAGGTCTCTACCTGTGAGCCAAGGTTGTCTTCTGGTAAGCACTGGTTGGCTTCTGACTGCTAGGTTTTGTTAGGTTGCTTACCTCTCCAGAAAAGATGTTTAACCAAATGCCTTTCCTTTATTGCAGTTGGAGGACAACAGCACACCTGAACCAAAGGAAAATGGGGAGCAAAGCTGTCTTCAGAATGGTCTTTCTCTCCCCATTGTAGAAGAAGGGCAGGTCCTCTCACATTCTCTGGAAGCAGAGCACAGGTAAAAACCCAAGTAGAGTCTAACATGCATGGTGACATTTTCACAAGCACCATAAGTGCACTTCAGTTTCCCTTGCTGTCTTCTGAACATTGTCTCATAAACTTATCCAGCTTTTTCACAGTCTCCCCTGCAAAGTTTTTATGTAGTTTCTAACTCCATTTATGACCCCAAAAAGAGAGGAGAGGGGAGCCTGTTGCGCTGACTCAAGTAAAGAGTTTACATAAGGGGGCTGGGGATTTAGCTCAGTGGCATAAGCACCTGCCTTGCAAGCAGGCGGTCATGAGTTCGATCCCCGGTACCGATAAAAATGAAAAAGACAAAGACAAAAAAAAAAAGGAGTTAACATAAAATCACTTTAACCCTCATTTGTAGAACCTGATGTTTAGTATATGTGCTGACGAAGCAAGCACAAGAACCTGATGTTTATAAATGAAAGCCTTGCCAGGTGTGGTGGCACATGCCTATAATCCCAGCACTAGGGACACTAAGTCAGGAAGATTGCTGCAAGTTCAGGCCAGCCTGAAGTGGAACCCTTCCTAAAAAAAAGAAAAAGGGAAAAAAGAAAATCTTAAGCACACAGAGCATCCATCTTTTTGGGAAAATGGATGGTAAGCAGGGCCTGCCATGTATGGCAGTACCTTCCTGAAAGGGATTCACAAGGTTAGGAAAAAAGCCCACAAGAACATGAAATTGAAAGAAAATTTAGGTACATGCTTGTCCACAGGGAACAAAAGTGAAATTTCTTTCTCTATTTTGATGAAACTGACAGCCATTGTAGTTTGGTTCTTTTTATACTAACATGTTTCCTGCCTTCTATTGCCTCTTATAGCCTTTTCTGTCAAGGTAGAAATCTCCCTTTCACTTTTAGGGGTTCCTTCTCTAACATTCATTGCTTCTTTTTGTGGAAAACAGTGAACTTTCCACATGGATTTCCTGGTGTCATATTTTCTTTGCCTGTCCTTCTGCCTCCACCCAGGTTACTGAAAGCAATGGGATGGCAGGAATATCCTGAAAATGATGAGAATTGCCTTCCACTCACAGAGGATGAGCTCAAAGAGTTCCACATGAAGACAGAGCAGGTATGTTTTAAAGCTTCCTTGGAGACCATTTAACCATTAGTAGAGAAAAGAATCTGAACAGTCTTTGCCATTAGGAAGCCCTAAGTTTAAAGAAAATATGAACTAAATCACCATAACAGAAATATAATAGGACACTAAGCTTTGCCTGAGCAGTGAGAGGTCTCCATTAATGGATAACAAATGCCCATGACTACCAAGGGCACAGAAAGTAACCTGTTCATCCTCACAACTGTCACCCCTTATCAGAACCTGAAGGCTGGTCCCAAAAATCTGAGTTCTCAGTTCTGGGCTTTGGGGTTTGGGTTGGGTCAAGTGGGTGGTTGGTTGAGTCACTGTTTCTATGTAGTTCAACTCATTATATAGCCCAGGTGCCCTTGAACTCTTAGAAATTCTCCTGCCTCATCCTCTCAGATGCTACCATTATAAGCTTTTGGTCTTTTAAGAAAGTGATACATACCCTCCTCTACTTCTGGCCCTGTAGTTCCCTTATGGTGCTTGGGTCAATGCTGAGTTTAAAACTCCAAAATTTTTTCAACAAAGGCCTGAGCTAGGAGGGATGGCACACTCCAGTAATCCTAGCTACTGGAGAGGCTAAGGCAGGAGAATGATACATTTGAATCTATACTGGGCAACTTAGCAAGACTCTGTCTCAAAACACAAAGGCCTAGCGTGTTAGGTAAGTGAGGCCCTGGTTTCGCTTAGCTATGCCCAAAAACATCTTAGATTCTTTCTCTAAGTAAAACATTGCCAGAGCCAGGGATTTTAGCTCAGCGGCATAAATGCCTGCAAGGTTGTGACTTTGATCCCCAATACAAAAAAAAAAGAAATTGCCCCATCACAGGGTTTACAGCAGTGAGCAAGACAAAGTTTCTGCAGATCCCACTGACCTGACAGTTCTGGTGACAAATGTTTATGGCAAAGTTGGCGTTGGATAAGTTCTGGAAAGGGACTAAGTACAAACTGACCCTACCATTCAGTACTCTGTTAGAAACAGGAAATCTCATAATTAGAATCTGCACGTTAAAATAATCTCGTATGAGTCATTTGCTCATGAAAGTTTGAAAAGCACTGCTATAAAATATCATGGAACCCCCACAAATAATATTCTGCTTTCAAAACAAGCTTGAACTTGGCCAACTGCATGTGCCAGTGTAGTTGTTGATGGGTTTTTTTTTCCTTTCTCTTCCATGCTGTCTGTAGCTAAGAAGAAACGGCTTTGCAAAAAATGGCTTCTTGCAGAGCCGCAGTTTGAGCCTCTTCTCCCCTTGGAGAAGCACTTGTAAAGCAGAGTTTGAGGATTCAGACCCTGAAACAAGCAGCAGTGAGACATCAGATGATGACGCCTGGAAGTAGGCAATGAAATGCTCACAGCTCATCTGAACCAGTAAACTCAGCTTGTGTATTTCGGGAATATACAAAAGAAATTTTTTTTTCTTTTCCTTTTCCTTTTATGTTGAATACTTCATGCACAAGGGAAATAATCATATCCCAAAGAGAGAGCAGTTGGCTTGTTGAGCTTTTGTTGTTGTTCTTTCCTGTTATCTGCTTAGTAGAGATGTTTGTGTGGTGGGAAAGATTTTTAAAATACACACAGGACCTATGGGGCGATGCACAGGTGGGAGCTGGCAGTGCAGAAACGGAGAGAAGCAGACGCTGTTTTATGGCAGCAGCTTCTACTACCAGCCCTTGGGGCACTCAACCCTGTGCTCAAGCAATCATTGTCAATGACAAAGTGACTATTGAAGTTATAATTGTATTAAATTAATGCTAATAATTTGGATATTTTATTTTATTTTTGGCTGCTCGGGTAACTTTAGCCCTTAACCAAGCGTATGGTTTTTTGTTTTTGTTTTCCTTTTGGGTACAGCTGTAAAATATTTGGATATAGGAAATGTGTTATTCTTGCAGCCTTGATATTCAGGGTGGATTGTAAAATATAAATTTTTGTGAGATTTCAAAGATTAAGATTATTTTGATAACATTATTTACAGATTTAAAAAGATGTGGTTATCACAAGTCTGTTGAGGGAAAAAACTACTGCATAAAATAACTAACTTGGAATAAATATTTTGCATCAGTTTGGATTGTGTGTGTAAAAAGTATATTTTCCTTAAAATTAGGGTGGATTCTTTTTTAAAGAAAGTATTTTTAGAAGTTTGGGAGAAATCTGAATTCAGACACACTTGTCTTCTTCTACCAGAACTGTACACTCTATTCTGAGATGATAGGCTTGCTGAGCAAACACTTGACCCCTGAGCTGTGTCCTCAGCCTTAGCGAATACGTTTTTGTTACAGAAAATTCTTTGCAATAAATTATCAAGTGATATAGTTGAAAAGTAAATTTTCATTAGCCATTTTTCATTACCTACATGTATACATGTTTCCAAATGTGAATGTTTTAAAGAAAGTCTGTGCCTTAGTTTTCCCACTAAGTAAAAGCTTCGAAGAGTTAAGACTTGAACCAGTCCTGGCTACATAGCCAGTGGAGGAAGCAGGTTATCTCATTCCATACTTTCCAAGCCACTGTCACGTGTCCTAGACATTATACAAGGTTTAGAAAGCAAGGAATAACCAACCTACAAGAGGAGAAAATAAACAGTTATATTAATTAGAAAAGATGAAACCATAATTCCAGCATTCCGGAGGCTGAGGCAGGAGGATTACTGTGAGTTCAAGGCCAGCCAGGCTACATAATGAGACCCTGCTCCAAAAAAAACACAAAAATATAGTTTTAAAATGTAAAAAAAAAAATAAATAAATAAATAAATAAAACCTTAGACCAAAGATCTGATGAAAAAGTAGATGTTGATGGATATTTAGCGCTGAATACTGACATGTTTGCTGTGCCTACATTAGTTGTCTCTGGTAAGTAAAGGAGACCACAATTACTGTATATCCTACTTGAAAATAAGTAGACAAGTGGTAGGCCTTGGTGCATGTTAGAAAAGTGGTTTGTGGCTGGGTGGCACACATGTAATCACAGCACTGGAGAGGCTGAGGCAAAAGGACTGATGCAAGTTTGAGGCCAGCCTGGGCTACAGAGTGAGTTCATGGCCAGCATGAACTGTATAGTAAAAACCCTGTCTTGAAACAACAAATAAAAAAAGAAAGATGATTTGCAGTAGAAGGGAAGACTGTGTCAGTGTTAGATATAGTTCCTGGTGCTACTGGTAAAGTATAGGCAATCCATGTGCAAACTGGTGAGAGAGTTAAAGGTAGAGCTGAGTGTAGTGATGAACACCTATAACTCCAGCACTCCAGGAGGCAGAGGCAGGTAAATTGCAAGTTTGAGCTGACTTTGGGCAACTTGGCAAGACCCTGTGTCAAAGCAAAAAATTTAAAAAGGTTAGGTATATAACTCAGTTTGAAGACCCAGTACCACTACTGCTGTTTCTACAAAATTATATAATCATACTTCATTCAATGTAAGATGACCTTTTTTGTTCTGAGGATCAAATTTAGGGGTGCAGTACCACTGAGCTATATTCCCAACCCCTTTTTATATTTTTGAGACTAGATTTGCTAAATTTTCCAACTAAAACTTGAACTTGCCATCCTTCTGCCTCAAACTCCCAAATTGCTGGGAATATAGGCGTGTATCTATTTAAAATATTTATATGCTAATAAGCGAAAACTTGCCAGTTGCATCACCTTTTTTTAAGTGTGAGTCAATGTCATGGTTATTGTATAAAAAATATGCATCCTGAAATGAATGAAATTCATTTCACACCCGTAACCCTAGCACTTGAGAGACTGAGGCATGATTGTGAGTTCTAAGCCAACCTGAAGCTACATGGTGAGACCCTGTCTTTAAAAAAAAAGATAAAGTACAAAGTGAACTAAGAATGTTACAGCAAAATGTTCAACTTGTGAAATTAGAATATGGACATTGCCATTTACTAGTTTTTCAGAACATTTATCTAAAAATTGATAGGATTTTTGGCATGGTAAAAGAATATAAAGTAGGGGCTGGGGATTTAGCTCAGCAGCATAAGCACCTGCCTTGCAAGCAGGCAGTCGTGAGTTCGATCCCTGGTACTGATAAAAAGGAAAAAGACCAAAAAAAAAAAAAAAGAATATAAAGTAAAAATGACCTTTGTTCTAAGAATGCGAAGAGAAACCCCATGACCACTGGGGGTCTGGCTTTCTCTGCCAGGAACATGGTGTGGGGGGCATACATACAGTTTTCGACGGGGGTGGTGCTTAAAGATGGCATTGCTGATGTGCAAGTAGCTGATTGGGACTCTTTTCGTGCCACAGGTAAGTTGCATAGGAGCGGGGAAAGTGACCTCAAAATAAAAGTCCCTTGGTCCCACCTCCCACTGCCAGGTAATGGGCAAAATCCTTTCAAAAATAATACTTTTTTTGTTTTGGAATGAAGGTAAACCAAGATTCTATATTTTGAAACATTTAACTTGCTGGTCCTATCTTGGCTTTCTATGTTATATGAGAGGAAATACCTTATTTCCCTGGATTTTTTTTAGAAAAGGGATCGTCTTTGAGATAAGCCCCCCCCCCCAAGAACTCCTGCTTCTTTATAACTTGATAGATGCATGTTTAAGGCATAGTTGAGGTTATGGAGGAAAATTTGACCAGGTTTCTTAGCCCTTGAGAAGGAATTCCTTTCTGGCATTGATTCCCTCATCTAGTAGATTCATTATGTTCTCTGACAGTTCTCACAGCTTGGGCTATGCTGATTATCCCCCATCTGCAGCTGAAAAAAGCCACACCAGAAAATGGAAGTTAGGAGGGACTACTTTTCATAGGGTGACTTGGTGGTTCACAAGTGGGAATTACAGCTAGGCATTGTGGTTCATGCTTGTAATCCCAGCATTTTGGAGGCTAGCCTCCAAACCCAGCCTAAGCAACGCAGAGAGGAATGAATGAATGAATGGCTCAAAATATAGCTCCATTAGCCAGGGGGTTAGCTTAGTGGTGCAAGCGCCTGCCTGGCAAGCACAAAGTCAAGTTTGATCCCTGGTACAAAAGGGGAAAAAAAAAAATAGCTCCATTCTCCAGCAGGGAAAGGTGGGAATTGTGGATGCCTGAACACAAGCTTGTTATTAAAAAGAGCTTTTCATTTTGGGGGAAAGATGTATCCGAAACTTGTACAGTTAGCTTCTTTGGAGTACAGTAAAGAGATGTTCCTTGTCTGTCTGAGGCTGTTAAATGACCAAAGGTGGCCCAGCTAGACTAAAACACCTGTCCACTCTCCTTTCTGTGTAAACAAGGAAACCAATGTGACACAGAGGTTGCTAGGCTTTTTCAAGTGTAGCTTACCCACCCATTCTCCTAACTTGCCCAGGCCTGTTGTTGCTGCCCAGGAAGCCAAAGCTCCTCCCCAAACATAAGCTTGAAGATCTTGTAGACCCCATAGGCTGGGCTCCTCACCCTCTCTTGCTGTGCCACGTTTTCTTTGGGACTAGACTGGTATCAAGAAGCCAGTCCTGTCCCATGGCCTCCTACTCTGGGGAGCCAGGGCTCCTGCCCTGCAGGTCCTGTGACATGGTTTTCCGCTCCTGGGCCCTGTTGTCCGACCACACTCAGCGCTTCTGCATTGGCCTGACCCCGGATGTAACTGTTGGAGCAAAGCCCTCTGCTGAATTAGGAGGTGTCACGGTAAGGAATGCATCCCTGTGCCCAAGGGTGGGAATTGCAGCAAGCCTAAACAAGGTTCCTCATCTCAACTGCTGTTCCCAGGCTGTGTCACAAGAACTCCAGGGCTGCTCAGATCAGGAGGCCAACAGACCTGCTCTAGAGAGGTTAAGAGAGGAGGTACTTACTGACCCTGCTTTTGAAACTTCTCCCCTCATACATGTAGATTATACAAGGGAAAGATTGCCCACACCTAATGATCACAGGTCACTGTTCCCCCAGGTGCAGTGCCTACGGCTGTCCCTGCAAGAAATGCAACCGTACGTAATAAACAGCCCGCTCTGGGAGGCTGCAGGGAGCCCTTGCAAGCGGCTGCAGGCACTGTATGCAACTCATGCCAGGCGCAAGGCACAGACTGAAGCATGGGGCCGCACCCTAGAGCAGCGCAGTGCTGGTGAGGGAGGACGGAGCCAAGGACCCGCCCTGCCACATCAACCAGGACACTGTTCTAACTGGGTCCTTTATCCTTCAGAGCTGAACGGATACCTCCAAGGTTTGACCCAGGCCCCGGGCAGGATACCCCGCCTCTTAGGCCTGGAGCAGGAGCTTCGAGAACTCCGAGCTGAAGCTGGGCGCACCCGGGGAGCTCTGGAGGTGTTGAGTACACATGTTCAAGAGCTAAAGCCCCAGATAAGGTGAGACTGGTGGAGCATGTGGAGTAGCAGCCAAAGCAGACCACTGGACATCCATGACATCATCTCCTTGTCCAGGAACCGACCAGACACTGAATTTTGTTGGCCTATGCTGCAAGCTAGCACAGGGAGCCTGGCTGCAGAGATTGGGTGAGGGCTGTGGCACAGGGAAGGTGTGGGACAGTTGATTGGTTCTTTTAAAGACTTTCTGTCCTCTCCCACATGTCCTCCCTAGGGCCTTCTGTGAGGCTTACAAGCAAGGCGGGGGCCGAGACCCTGGCATTATGAGCAAGATATGGCAGCTGCAAGCAGAGGCATCAGCTCTGGAGCTACGGCGCTCTCTGAATCGCAGGGGTGAACAAAAGGGGTTTTCCTGGAGACTCACAGTGGCTGTGGCCTTAGTCCTGGGCAGAGAAAAGGGAAGGAGGGTGGGAGGCCTCTGGCTTGGGAGCCACTGGAGCAAAAGTTCTGAGCTGGAAGCAGGGTGGTTATAGCTAGAATCTGAATTGCTAAGTCTAGGTTTGTCCAGGAAACTTGGCTCAGGGCCAAGGTGACAGGTCAGACTTACTTGTGGCAGAAAAGGCAAGTGCTACCTCAGGGCAGCTTCTGGAATTGGAAACAGAAAACCAGCGCCTGGAGGCAGAAATCCTAGCCTTGCAGATGCAGAGGGGCTTAGACCAGTTGCCCTCAGGTAAGTACACATCCCAACCTTAGCCCATCCTAACAGCTCAGAAAGGGGTAGAGGGATCCCACATGATGAATGAGACCTGTGTTTGTGCTGACAGTTGAAATCTATTACACATATCCATGTATCTGTGCATATGTCCCTTGACTTATCTGTTACCTGTGCCCTCCAGCAAAGGGACGTCCTAATTCTTAAAATGTTCCTAGGGCCCATGGTGCCACGACTCCAGAAGAGAGGTGTCCCTCTCCTTCCACCAGTAGCACCCCTGCTGCCACCACTTCCAGTCTCCACAAACTTCCAGTTGTTGGACAGTGTGGAAAAGGTTGTGAGAACCCTGGTGGCGTTGGGTGGATTATCAGCATCAGCTCTGCTGTATGGGGGAAGCATGTGCCATTAGAATGCTTTTCTGGAGGAGTCAACTCTTCCCCACAGCCGCCACTATCTGGAACCATGACCAGGAACCTGGGCCTGGACACATCTGTTCTCCCCACATCTGATGTGCTAGGCCCTGCACCCTATGACCCTGGGTGAGGCCTGGCCCCTCATTAGACAACCACTGATGGTTAAGGAGACCTAGGAGAACTGTGGTTGGAACTGGCAGGTTGGAGAGAAGCTGAAAGTTTATAGTGTTTGTGTGCTTAAGACTCGTATCCATCAGGGCTGGCCTCGTCATTTTCTATGACTTCCTGCGAGGACTTGAGTCTTGTTGGATTTGGGTGCAGCTAATAACAGCTTTGACCCGAGATGGACAAGATACAGGAGGTGCCACAGCATTGCCCCCAGCCCTCTGCTTACCCTCACCTCTGGCTCCTGGGCCCAAGGGCAACTGTGCCATCCTTGCTAGCAGGCAGCCTGTGTCCAGGTCAGTAAGCAAGGCTCACATCTTAGGTGCTTTTGTCAAGCACCAGTTAAGGTTGCTTGTGTATACAAGGTTTGAGTCCTAACTAGGAAGGGATTTTACCTCTGGCTCCTGACACCTACTTCATTGGGGTTTTACAGATTGCCCCCATCACCTTTGGTGTCTTTGGTCTGTGAGCTACAGGCCTGGGAGGGGCTCCCAGGAGCTAGGACACCACAGTCAAAGGCTTGGGTCTCACTGGCACTATTTGATCAAGATCAGAGGGTACTAAGTGGTCACTGGCGCCTCCCACTTCGGGCCCTTCCCCTGGACTTCAGCCTCAGCCTTGGGCAGCAGAACACGATTCCCCAGGTAAGTTTGGAGGCCTGGGGCTGAGTGTATCCCAGGGTACAGATGGAGTAAACACCACTGCTCCTCCCTCCAGGTAGGACAAGCTGAGCTCTTTCTGCGACTGGTGAATGCAAGAGATGCAGCTGTGCAGACATTGGCAGAGATCAATCCAGCTTGTGCCCACCAGTACCAGTACCCAGCACTGGTGAGGACACAACTAAAGCTAGATACAGCACCAGTGTAGTTGATCTCTACTGTAAACCAAGTTTAACCTCACCTTTTGATTTCATTAATTTTGTTCACTGAAGTTCAAACACCAAAACCTATGCCCTTGTTGAAGACCTGTCTTATATTCCACAGGTACCAACCTCTTCACTGAAAACCACCAGTTGTACCCCTAAAGTTGGCTCTACTGATCCGCCACCTCCTGCAGAAGAGCCTTTTGTTGGCATGAAGGATAAAAATGAAGGGTTCAGGCCCTCACCACAGCTGTGACTCAGACCCTCTAGGTTAGGTTTCTGAACCAGGATGAATGTAAAGCTGATTCCCAAGTCTGCAGCTTTACTACATGTTCTGACCCAGGAGTAAGAGGCAAATAAGCATCAATGAAATCCAACCACAGCCTTGCCCTTAAGTATTACCCTTTCTGCACTTTGCTTTCATAAGTGAAATTAAATGAATCACATACAACACTGATAATTTTTCTGAAAGGTGACTAAGTCTTGCTAAAGCCAGCTTTATCACCAAACTTCAAATTCCAGCTTAAGCCTTCTGCCAGAATTTCATTCAGGCTTTTAATTTGCCATGTCCCCACAAACTCCTAGGGCTTTAGAGTCCAGGGCAAGCCCTCAGCCCAGTAATGCTTCAGCCAAGCAGGCAATCACATACTGAAATTTTCCTATTGGACCTAGGCTCAATTACCAGTGTCACGAGTGATCAAGGGCCTGGGTCAACCATGTCATGTCATGAATGTCCTACCCTATCCCAAAAGAGGAAAAAGCCTTAGGACCTGGAACACAACACAGGGCATCTTTAAGGATGTTCCAAGTCAGGAAAAACCAGAGACCCGGCAAGGATAAATAATCAGCCAACCATCCCAGAAGCATTTTATTTTAAAGGAGAAAATAACACTAAAAAAATGACTTGGAACAGTTTTCAGGTTTCAACCTGCTGCTACATGCATTGGGATTCGTATCTAAATACTGCCTGGTCTGTAATAATAAATTCTAATAAAGGAATGTTTGACCCATTCAGGGTTTTTTTCTCAACACAAGGCCTGTATTTTGAATATCTGAGAAAGCCCAACAATTGGCACCGGTATCACTACCCTGACCCCTACTGAACTGCTGAGCCAAGTTTTGCTTTTTAACCTCACATCACACAAATGCCCCAGGCATCCCAGGATCCCACAATTAAAGTTTTAAGCATAATTCCAGACTAGAACTTTTTATTAGCATCTTTATTCTGAGAATTTAAAACTGAAGACAATGTAACAATTCCAAGTGTAGATATATTTCAACTTTCCTTTACAGAAAAAATGTAACTCCACAGATTCTTCCAATTATTTCCAAGCATCCATCACACTTCTTTCCTAGAGCTCATTTCTCCAACTAAACACACCAATTGTTTTCCTCAGATCTCCCGTCCCAGATTTTCTTCACAGTTCTTTCCAGGACTAGATAATGGCCCTACATGGAGACAGAGTAAACAGAAAAAGTAGTGCCTAAGGTCTGCTTCACAGTCAAAGTCCATCATCCATTTTCAGCACCAGACAGCAGTGTCTTCAAGTCCTGTGTGTATTGCCCAGTCCAGGGACAGCACCACCAAAAGTTCACAAGACTGCAGAGTTTAGTCAAGTTCGTGACAGTAGAAATATAGCACCGATGGAAGATGAAGAGACCACAGCCACACGTGCAAATAATCACCTCCATGTTAAACTGCAGCTAGAGTTACAACTTCCAAGACAGTGATCAACGGGGGGGAAAAATGAAACTAAAATTTTGGCCATTTTATAAAGCTAGAGTGCCCCAAGGCACAGATTTAGCCAATATTTAAGAAAAAAAGCCATCAAAGACTCAACCTTTGCTTATCATCTTTATTGAAGTTATACAAAAAGAACCCCCAAAAGTGAAAAAATACATTATTTACAAAAAACACTTTCCCCTAGGAGGAAGGCTCCATTGCCGCTCTCAACATGCATTGGTCTTGACAGTGGCTCCTGCCTCTACTGTGCCCTCTGCTGAGGCCCGGCTGTCGGCCTGCTTCTCAACCTGAAAGACAGATTGACCCTGGGCATAAGTAACCCTAGTTGAAGCTGCTGTGTCACACAAAAGAGCCTTCGAGCAATTAAACATAGGCCCCCTAATGCGGTTTCCTGAGAGCAGTGGCACAAAGTAGGAGGCTAAATTCTCTTAACAAGGCTGGCAGAATCAACAGTTCTGCACCAAATGGAAAAGATCTAGCAGACAGCGAGGCTAACTCAAGTGCCTCTCATGCATTCAGGGGACCTATGGTGCATGACTATGGTACCTATCCACTGTACTCCAACACAGGCATGTCCATTCTGTGAGAGTGCACTCAAGCAATCCAAACAGGCTCAAGCTGGGCAGTGTGCATTTGGGAAGCCGGTTTCCCCAAGCCTGAGAACAGGGGAAGGCCATAGCCACATTAATTGCCCACCTCCTCCTCCATGCTTTCCGAAACTTCATTTGCACTGGGGACTGTATCCCCACTGCCTCCATTGACTTCCGGCTCTTGTTTGGCTTTCTTTGCATCATCTTTCCGGGGACTCTCATCCTCTGGTTTCCTCTAAAAATAACAAGTGTGAAGGCTTCACAAATATGGTTACATATTTTTTTAAAAGACAACTGTAAACTGGGCACGGTGGAATGCACCTAAAATCCAGCACTCAGGAAGCTGAGATGAGGATCACTGTAAGGCCAGCCTGAACTACACAGCAAGACTTTGTTTCCAAAACAGACAAACAAAAATGACAATTGTAAAACACCCATAACCCTTGTGGTACAAAGATCCTAAACACCAGGACGACTCGATCCAAGAATCTCGCTAGTCAAAAGTGGGAAGCACCAACCTATATGCTGCAAAATAGACAGTTGACAATTCAATTCAGCCTGCCTACTAGAGGCACAATGGGGTAAGGTAACCAGTAACAAAGTATGAAACATCTGAGGTAGGAATGCAGGCTCTCCCCAAAAGGAAGTAACCACTGAACTACAGGCCGAAGGTAAAGAATCAGAGTTTAAGAGTCAGCAGGCTGCTGCTAAATAAATACGGGTGAAGAAAATCTTGCAACTTCCTAAAATGCACTCACCTGATGAATCCTTTCCTGTTAGTTGTTGGCAAAGGCCATAAAAGTTTAATAAGTAAGATACTGATATGTTATCTTCCCTCCCAAATCTTTATTATCTTCGGATGGTTTGTGGAGCAAGTGTTCTTGTGTGTGAAGACTCAAAAAAAGGCAGATTGAGGAAAAGAAAGCACATGTAAGTTTTACCTTCTTTCGGACAAGATGGGAAATATCAGTCACACAATTTGATGAGGAAGCACCATCTATTGTTCTTCTACTGGCAATCTGGCAAGAGAAGCACCTTTGTTATGAAACCAGCAGCAAGACCTAATACTAAATGACAAAAATAACACTCAATACCCACCATGGATACTGAAGAGCCGCCTCCACTAGAAGTGAAACCTGAAGTAGAGCTCTCGACCTGTGAGAGATGACAAGTAAAAGCAAATTCCAATCAACATAGAACCCAGGCCACCCAATGTTCCATATGTTTTCCTGACATCCTGGCAGCCACAGCTGACCACCTACTCATTACATCATTAATCGATACAGTACTATCCTCAGAAACAACAGCTTACACTTATTAAAAGCAGTTCCTATTTGTCTGATACTGTCTATAGATAAGGCAAGAGACCTGAATGCCCATGGTCATGCACACTATTTAGGATAGGTGTGATTCACACTGTGTAGGACAGGTGCAATTCAAACTCAGTCTGGCTCTAGAGCCCACTGTCTATAACCACACTGTACCATTTTGATAGAATAATGAACATTCCCATTCCCTCTGATCAACATCCAAGAAAGCAAGTCATGACAAAGTTCTTAGGCAAGTGGAGCATTAACATTAATGCTCCAAATATACTGTTTTAAAAACTTTAAAAGGAAACTAAACAAACCAGAGTAGCTTTCAGCGCCAATTCAGCTACATTCCCACTATGTTGGGACTCCTTTGCATCTTCTATCTTCTCTCTTATTTCAGGTAGCAGTTCCTTCAGTTCCTCAATTTCTTTCTCATATTCAGTAGACACTTCAGCCTCCTTCATCTCTTCATTTAGTACAGCTACAAAGAACAGGCTAAAGTGATCAGTAACAATTACCATAAAAGTAGCCATTTTAACCTTTTCCATTACTGGATCAACATCATCATGAAGTAGGTGCTCACTCACCCATTCTCTTCTCAATGACTTCAATAGATTTGCTGAACTGTGCCACTGCCTCATCATACTGAGAGTTGTATCCATAGGCTAAGCCCAGCTGGTAGTGAGTCTCTGCAAGGAGTCGGTCATGGGCTTCCAAGTACTGCTCCTGCAAGGTCAAGCAGGCCTGGAACTCCTCTACGGCCTGGATGTAGTTCTCTGGCAAAGGGAGAATTGACAGCAAGAATTGGGTAGACTTTAACCAAGTATTTCTAGAATTCAAATCCATTCTGCAGAAATGCCTCCACCATTCTACATTTCCTTTTTTTTGTTTGTTTGGGTTGTTTTGTTTTTAGTATCTACAGGATGCTTGGCTATGCAGAATAACAAAATAACTTAAAAAAAACCACTATCTACAGGATGCTTGGCTATGCAGAATGACAAAATAACTTTGGGGGCTGGGGATTTAGCGCAGCAGCATAAGCGCCTGCCTTGCAAGCAGGCAGTCATGAGTTCAATCCCCGGTACCGATAAAAAGGAAAAAGACCAAAAAAAAAAAAAAAAAAAAAAAAAAACTACAGAAAGGGCTATGTAAGGTTATACCTCAGTAGCAGAACATGTACTGAATCACATATGTGCAAGGCCCTACTTTGATCCCGAGCACCAAAAACCCTGAGATTCAAATCACTGTTATGACTATTCTACAGAACAATAAAGAAAATCCTCTGTCATTAACAACTACTGTCATTTTAAAGCCAACCACCTAACTATAATCAAGCTGCATGCTATAAAATCTCTTACAAGGGAGAATGGGGGTATAAAGGACGCTGAAGAGAATAAGATGGAAAAAGCATTACCAGATTCAACACTAACTTCTCCAAGTTTAAGATGTGCCTGTGCAGCATAAAGCTGGGCTTCTTTTGTTTCTTGTCTAGAAGGAAAGTTGTTTAAAAACAGCATTATTCGAACTGCTATCAATTTTCAATCACCAAACTGTTAGAAGCACAGTTTTACCTTTTAAAAATGATCTTTGCTAAATCCAGCATATCCCAGGCAAGCTCTAGGTTCCCAATGTCATCCTCCTCACTTTCTTGAAGAGACTAAAAGCATATCCAAATTATTGGTATAAGGCAGAATTACAAGACAGGTGTCATTTTAGAGTAAAAATCTAAATGGATAGTTAAGATTTGATGGGTTAGGGATATAGCTCAGAAGCACAGCACCTCCCGGGCAAGCATAATGTTGTGAGTTTGATTACCAGTACCAAAAGAAAAAAAAAAAAGAATTGATGTAACTTTATCCTAAATCACCTTATGTCAATTTGGTGTAAAAACCTACTGGTATGTTGAGTTCTGTCCTCATAGACATGACCCTCTGGGATCAAACAGCTCTGGCCATCGTAAGCATAAATAAAGGATCCTAACCTCTAACCAAGAATCGGCTGTCTACAAAACCATCCCCATTCTACTAAGCTGCAATCCTACAATAACAAAAGCAGAGAACAGCCGGCCATGGTGACACATGCCTATAATCCCAGCACTTGGAAGGCTGAGGCAGGAAGATTGTTGCAAGTTTGAGACCAGCCTAGGCTACAAAGTGAGCTCAAGGCCAACTTGAACTGCATAGTGAGACCCTACCTCAAACAGACCAAAAGAGAAAGAAAAAAGAAAAGCCAAGAATAATAAACAAATAATAACTTGCCTTATTTTCAAGAATAGATTCATTTGGTATTTCTTCAGCCTTGTCATTTTCTTTATCCTCTTCTTCTGAGCCTTCAGTCTCTATAAGCAACAAATCCACAGAATTGAAAATATAACTAAGGCATGATGAAAAGATTCCCAAAAATTATATTCCATCCTACATTCTGAGACAAGACAGTTAGTTATAAGCTAATCCAAGTCTGTTAACATCTCATCTGAATAGAAAGACACTGATCACATTCAAATTCAAAATTTTATCTTAGTTTAAAATCTATTACCAATACATCAGATCTTCAGCAATAAAAAGACTAGCTAATACTCCGGTTTAGCATATAAATCTTTTGCCTTTTTAAAAAGGCTAAGTGGTTTTTTTTTTTTGTTTTGTCTGGCAATGTCTAACTGATATTCTTGTAAGAATAAGTTAACATTGGTTATTTGGAATGAGACTGATTAGCGGCTGCCTCTTACTGACTAGAAGCTCATATCAATTCAGTCAAAAGTAGGTGGGCTACCTTGGACAGTGTTTGTATTGTCGTTAGATGCCACTAATTAAACAATACTACAGATTTGAAAAGTGCCCAAAAGTTAAATTATCCCACTCTATTCAGAAAAAAGAACACTCAGAGGACTAGCTTTCCCACAAGAGAGCTATGGAAAAACTGCAGAGTCCTTCCTGGTCTCACCAATGAACACGCCACAGCCTCCAGCCAGCTCTAGCAAATACAGAATTTGACTGACCAAACCAGTCATTTCAATGATTCCATTTAAATATGTGGCCATATTTGACACCATTATTTTTCACCTGTTGATATAGATAGGCTGCTAATAAAGCACACTATATTGAATAATATAACCTTTTTTTTTTTTCCAGTACAAAATGTTGAAGCTAGGGCCTCTGCACTAAGCCACATCCCTAGCCTTTTTAAAAACTTTTAGTTTAAGACAAGGTCTCACTAACTATCTCTAAGATGATAATGTGTAATCTATTAACTGGTGATTGCTTACTGTTTTTTTTTTTTTTTTTTTGTAGTTCTGTATTACTTGTACCCTTACACCACTTTGTTTCGTTTTTTCTCTTTTTCTTTTTAAATTAAAAAAAAAAAGACAACGTCTCACTACACACTATATAAATTGACCAGACTGCCCCAACACTTAAAATATCACCTATAAAAAACTTAGGAAGGGATAGTGTAACTTCAGTGGTATAGGGCTTACCTAGCTTGTCTCTAAAGGCCCTAGGGCAGGAAGGAATGAGGAGTTTGCACCAGCTCGGTTTAGAGGTTTTTATTAATTGATATGGCATGGTACGGTATTTTTTTGGTACTGATAATCACACTCAGGACCTTGTGCTTACCAGGCAGGCACACTATGCCACTGAGCTATAGCCCCAGCCCTGTTATTCTTTTTGGTGGAGATAATTTTACAAACAAGTAAATATATGACCAGGAAATTTCTGGTAAGAGCTGGATAAAAAGAATGGAAGTTGCCTTTGGTAATATAAAGTAGCTAGGGAAGAACAATACATTTAAAGCAGATCTAGGAACAAATTTAATACTATCATTTAGCAGTTATGATTAGGATCACATGACCTTTAAGCCTCAACTTCACCGATACTGGTATATACTCTCATAGGTATTGTTTTAGAACTCAAAGTAATACACAGATATACACAACATATGTATTATTGCTTATCAAAGTCCAACTTATGAGAACCAGTAGAGCTTTTAAAGTCCTAGTTCGTTATTAAAAGTTGGACCCAAATGTGGTAGAGCACACCTATAATCCCAGCACTCAGGAAGCTGAGGCAGTCTGAGGCTATGAATTCGAGGCTAGCCTGAGATACAGAAGTGAACTGAAGTCCAGACTGAATTACACAGTGAAACCCTGTTCCAAAAAAAAAAGAGCTGGGCCTGCATAATTAACAATTTCAGCCTTTCAGGAGGCTAAGGCAAAAGGACTGCAAATTTGATCTTACCCTGGGAAACTCAGTGACTTAGCAAGACTCTGTATTAAAAAAAGGGGGGGGGGGCGCAGGGGCAGGGATGCAGTTCTGTGAAAATGTCCTCAGTTCAATCCCCAATACTGCAAATAAAATACAGATCAAGGGTAAGGGGTATCAGTGATGAGGTCCTAGTTTCAACCCTTAGCACCAAAGGAAAAGAAAAAAATAAGAGAAGAAAGCAATTCATGAGCATTTTATCCTCAAAGAACTTCTATAGCTCAAGCAACAGACGAATGGTGGTAACACTTAGCTAATTCACTTCTGATTACTATGCCTGTACTGGCTGGAATGCAGGGACTTGTCCATAGATGGAGAACTTGTTTACCAAAATATTCACATATTGAAGATGGGTCTTTAAAAATCTGTAACTTAAGAGAACTCTAAGTGGTCTGGCTATTAGAATAGTGACAAGTGGAATATACCTGTTATTAACGCCAAAGTTAGATGAACTTTATGTACAGCAGAATCCTCAAATGATAGCACAACTCAAGTCAGACGTGCCAATTACATATTAGAGGCTTATGTGTCTTGATGAATTGGATTGCATTTAGAGAAATAAAATGAAACAAAACATCTATACTTTATAACATTCCAAATAACAAAATTTCAGCTTAGCAGCCAAGCAAGCATGAAATGAGGAGGGAAAGCAGCAGAAAGACTAATGGCTAAGTTTCTCTTTTCTCTTTTGCAAAGACAGGTGTTTTAACTACTTTTGAACAAGCCTCTAAACATTTCCTGAACATGAAAAGTAGAAAGAGACACCAGAATTATTTATTGCTGGTGACAGAAAATTCAAAGTTAACTGCCTTCACTAAGAAGGCATGCCTGCTTAAGTGTACCAATTCACTGGATTCTACTGCTCTTTGTTCCTGCTCCCTAAAGCAGAGGAAAACCCATGTAAATAGTAAGTTTAACTCCAGAGGCATGCAAGCAAACATCCATTCAGCATTCTCTGCCAGCCTAACCTGCTATTGCCTTACCTATACAAGCCCCTCTCATCCACCTTTGCCATCCCTTCCTTGGCTAGTGCGGTAAGTTACTACAAGCTAGCCAAGTTTCAAACATCCCAGAGAAGACCTACTTTGCAGTTAGTAAAAGCGTTAGTTTATAAGCTGGCTAAAGACTTTCTGCTTCTGATTTAAATTGCTTAACTTGTCACAACCTTTTAAAATTACCCCCATTTTCATTTAGCCCTTTCCTAATCCAAAGGCAGACGGAAAATCCTGAATGGAAGGCTGACTTTTTTACCCATGATTAGTGAGTCAAAAATCCAGAATGTACTCCACCCACTGCAGCTCTTGCATATCCCGGTTACCTTCACCCTCTTTCATCTGTTCTTCTCTCTGTTGGGTCTCTTCATTAGCAGCTAGATTAACTTTGTCTTCAGGTGCTTTCTCTGTAGCCCTCTGGGCTACTTTGGTTTCAACCCCATCTGCAGCTGCCTGAGATTCTTCTATAGGCAGCTTAATCTCCTGGCTAAGAACTATCTCTGGCCTGACCTTCTCCTCTAGACCTGAGCCACCTTTTGTTTTTGCAGAAGTCTGTGGTTCGACAGGAGTCTGATCTCCTATAGCTGATAGTCCACTGCCTAGACCTTCCTGTGGGGGAACTGTGGGTTCCTGCTCTGGCTTTTCAGAGACTTCTGATCCAGACTCTGGAGCTAAGGCCTCCGTAGCTTCTGTTGTCATCACTGGTGACTCTTCAAAAGAAAGCACTTCTTGCCCTACCAGTTGTTCCAGCAAAGCCTTTCCTGGCTCATTTTCAGAGGCAGCTACCTGTCTCTCTGGCTCATTCCCACCCACATCCACTGGCTTGATTGTGGGCTCCACAGGCTCCAATTCAACCTCTGCTGCAGTGCCCAGCTTTTCAACAGTCAAAACTGGCTGTTCTTGGGAATCTTCTTTTGGCTTAGCCTTTGTGCTCACAGTTACCTCTTCCTGCTCCTCCTGACCTTTTTCTCTATATTCTTTTTGGATGTCATTTCCAAAAATTGATTTTTCTTCCTCTGTGTCTGGTGCTTTCTGTTCTGGCTTCCCAATAGTAAACTCAGCTTCATGCAGTCCTTCTGGTCCTGCTGTTGCTTTTGCCTCTTCAGAGGTTTCAGTTGACTGATTTGGAATCAATCCAACTGTTTCCTGTAGCTTCTCTGTAGGCACACTTATATCCATGTCTTCTTTTCCACCCTTCTCAATTTCACTCTTCTTTTGTAAATCAGTTTCAGGCTTTGCCAGAGAATTGCCTTCTGGTTTTTTGGCGGCTTCTTTTTCTCCCATGGCGTCATAAACCTGTTCTCTCAACTCTTCCCTTGCTTCCTCTACATGGTTAAAGAACATGAAGCATAAACATGTCTTCGAGTTTAATGATAAAAGCATAAATGGAAACTAAAAATACATTTCCTTTAAGCACTCAAATGGCCTGGCTTAATTTTTAGCAGATGGCCTAAAGATTACCTACCCCCGTGAGAAAAGCAAAGGAAGAGTCCCAGCTAGCAGAGCAACTTATTGCAAAAGAAACCCAATCTCCTTAAGCTAAGTATCATGTCACTTTGAGCATTCTGATTACCAGTTAGGTAAGAGATGCCAAGCTTTTCATTCTCCTTTAAACATTACAGACCCCTATCTGGTTTGTAAAACTCTAGTAGCCAAACTCAGCTTAGAAAGTAATAATTTTCTGAAGACACAAAGTGCTTCAAATTAATATTAACATAACTGAGCTTCACAAACTCATTAAAAAATTTGCAACAGATAAATTCTTTGATTAAATTAATCTTTTACAAAAGCCTATGTTCACCTTCAATAATGGGCTATCCCTACTGTGGTCTATACTAGATGCAGGCATCACCCCCAGCATCTAGAGAAACCACCCAAAGCAAGGAGAGCCCTATTTCAATTACTGTGTACAAAAAGCACACGTCGCATGTTTTGAATAACAAATGCAACTCCACATACCATCTATGTTATTATTTTCTACTACAGATTCATCATCTGCTTTTTCTCCTTCTTCCACATGCACACCTTCCAAGGCATTTCCCAACACACCATTTTCCATTCTATAAAGAGGAAAAAGCATCAAAGATATTAACATCTAGGGGCTGGGGATTTAGCTCAGCGGCATAAGCACCTGCCTTGCAAGCAGGCAGTCATGAGTTCGATCCCCAGTAACAATAAAAATGAAAAAGACAAAAAAAAAAAAAAAAAAAAGATATTAACATCTAGAACCTACTAATTATTATCAAGCAGAAAATGTGCCATAAAAGTGAAAAGTAACTAAGTGGAGATAATATAAAACCATACAAGCTATATGTAATGGCAGACACCTATTATCCTAGCTCATCTAGAAACTGAAAACAAGAGTAGCACAAACACAAGCCCAGTCTGGGCAACTTAATGACTTAGTGAGTGAGACTATGTCTTAAGTAAAAAACTAGGTTGGATATGGTGGTGTGCACCTATTATTCCAGGATTACAGAGACTGAAGCAAGAAGATTGCTAAGAATTCAAAGTCATCCTTGGGCTATATAGCAAAAGCCTGTCTCGAATGAATTTTTTGGTACTAGGGAATCAAACTCATGACCATATACTTGCCAGGCAGGCGCTGCCCTAGAAATTCTTGAAGAACTAAATCTGTATTCATCCCTTTTAATAGGGCAATAATATTCCAAACTCTGTCTTTACACACACTTCTCTAGAGACTCAATAACATTCTAGCACAATTTTCACAGTGAATTAACTGCATGTTCCAAAGATTAGAAACTTACCAGAACAGAGATTAAATGCGTAACAAATCATCTGCTAGTTTGTACACCCTCAACAGACTTTATTCTGTTGGATAACATACAGGAACTTTCAATAGCAAGACTACTTATATTATTCGCTAGACAAGTTCATATACTATTTATTTCAAATTGTCTCTAGTCCTTGTTGAAAGTCACTGGCTTAAACCACCTTTTTGGTTTTGGGGGTTATTTTTTGAGAGTCTCACTACACAGCCTGAGAGTCTCACACTTCAGCCTGGCCTTCAGCTCACTTTATAAGGCTGGTCTTGAACTCGCAATGATCCTTCTGCCTCAGCCCCCTGAGTGCTAGGATTACAAGCATGAGCCACCACACTTGGTTCACTTATAAGGCTTCACTTCTCCATACTGAACTTTGATTAATTACTGATCATCCACTAATAAAAATATTTTTAACAACCCCAAAAGTAGAAACTTCAATACTTTTTTGTTCTTTGTATCAAGTGTCATCCACATCTTCCATTAATATTTCATGCACTCTCAAAACCCACTTTCAGGCGAGGCATGGTAGCATACATACACGTGTAATCCCAGCACTTGGGAAGCTGAGAGGCAGGAGAATCACTGTGAGCTCAAGGCCAGCCTGGGCTACAAACTCAGTTTAAGGCAGCCTGAACTGCATAGTGAAACCTGGTCTCAAAAAGATAAAAAAACAAAACAAGCAAACAAAAAAACACTTTCTAAGTAAAACCAGCCCAACTTAGCTACTGTGAAATCTCAAAGCTAGAAAATATATGGTACCAAACTTCAGTTTACAAACATATCAAGTGAGATAAAACATTCTACTTATAAACCAAACATTTATTTATACAATAAGGTTTAAAAAACATACCTTGCCAACTCCAAAAGTGACTTCCCATAGAAAAAGAAGGCTTCTCCACACTCATTAGCTGTTTCTCCATACTTCTTACCTCTAAAAACAAATAAGCATCTAAAATCTTAACATCTAAAATGTTGCTAGTTAACATCAACAATGCATGAAATTAATGTTACATTTCTTCATCTATATATAATACATATTCTAAATGACATTAATTTGCTAATTAGTATGTAATCCAGGGGACAAATTATGAAAAGATCAGCGAACACCAACCTGATAAAGAGCAAGATCCCTGGAGCCAGACTAAGTACACAGCCCATCCGTAACCCTTAATTAACTGTATGACCTTAAGACAAATTAACACCACACCAGTGTCTTAGTTTTATCACCTATAATATGGGAAACAATATTAGCTACTTCAACAAATAAATTAATGTCTATAAAAGGATTTGAAACAATGTGTAGACAGGCATGGAGCAAACACCTATAATCCAAGCAAGCAGGAGGCCAAGGCAGTAAAATTGCATGCAGTTTGAGGCTAGCCTGAAGTACATGTTTAAAAAAAAAGTAGATAAACTAATGTTTAGGAACTCAGGAGGATGATCTAGAAGGCTCCTGAATTCAAGCCCAGTCTTCATAACAAGATACTGTTTCAAAAAAGCCAACAAAAAAATGTTTACAAATACAGATGGCACTGTATTTAACTTTTAACTATCAATATCCAGAGGAGAGAGGGAAGAAACCATGCAAGTGTGATTAATGGTTGGATGGCAAGTCATGCGCTCCTAATCCTAGCATTTGCTAGGCTGAGGAAAAAGGAACACAGCAAAGAGGCGCATCCTGGGCTACACAATGAGTTCAAGGCTAGCCTTAAGAGCACTGTGACACTGTGTCTCCAAGACAAACAAACAAAAAACAAGTGTGATTAATGGAAAGGAAGAAGTATTATACTCCATCTAATGCAAACGACCAGCTTTCAGGGAATAAAAGACTAGCCAAAGTCATACAAAGTCACACTAATGAGCTGAAAGTGCAGTGACAACAAAGGTCATGTTTAAGCAGTAGTCTTCTACATTACAATAGTGCATTCTTAAATTTTCCTTTAGATTTCCCTTTAGGGTAGGGCAACAGAAATGTAGTGTCTAAGATTTTTATTTCTGCTTAATTTTAACTCATCATTTTTTACATCAAAACACTTAAATACTTATCATTAGATAAAACTGGCTGCCACCCGCTATGCACTCTTTAATATCAAAGCCCCAATTCATTTGGCCCTGGTAGAGATGTACAAAGAGGCCAGAGACTATTATGGATATCCAGGAATAATATACTGCTTTGCATGTTGGGACAGGGAACTCAGGCAGGAAAAAGGTAAGCTTCAAACTTGAAATCCATAAATGCTTCATTATAACTATTTCTTTTATAGGATTCCCTTGCCAAAACTGAATGAAATGTAATCAACTAATTAAGAAACATGACTGAGGTTCAATTTAACTGATAACACAATCACGAGAAACTTACTCAAAAAAACTTTTATATAACAAAACTATTGCTGCCTTACTGGATTTAAGTTAACTCTTTTTTTCTGGCTCAGATATCAAGAACCAGTCTTTAGGTAGAGAAGGATAAGAGTAGATGGCATAGCACCATGTAGCATGCACAAGACCCTGGGTTCCATCTGCGGCACCACAAATTCTAAACTGTGCCTTCAAGGTGGTAGCGATCAACTTACAATCAACTTCAACAGCAGATAACAAAGACTCTAAAGTTTGAAAAATATCATAAGTGTGGGGTGACCAATTACACGACTTGCTTGGAACTAAGTCATTTCCCCAGTCATGGACTTCCTGTGTTCAAACTGGTAAAGGCTTACTGGATTAGCAGTAAAGCACTTATCTAGCATGTCTGAGGCCCTTGGTGCGATCCAGTATTGCAGAAGAGAAAAAAGAAATTTGGACTAGGAACTGTGGCAGATGGTTTAATCCTAGCTACTCAGAAGGACTAAGGAAGAAGATTTCAAGGCTAATCTAGGCAACTTACTGAGAGCCTGGGTCAAATTTTTTTTTAAAGTGGAAGTGGGGGATAAAGCCTAAGAAGAATGTTTGTCAAAGCATATAAAAGGCCCTGGGTCCCACCCTTGGAAAGCAATGAACAAATCAGGACAAGCTGACTCCTTTAATTATTGGTGATCAGAATACAAATTATCTTATTCAAAAAAATCAAAGATTGAATTTGCTCAGATTTTAGATTTGATAATCACTAAGCAAATTCAGTGTAAAACTTTTATTTATAGCAATAAACTCCTACATTAAAAAAAACTGGATAAATTTTTTAGGGTTTTGTTGCAGTGCTACAGAGCAAATCCAGGGCCTCGTGTATGTACAGCAAGCACTTGACAAGTCCTTGTTCTTCACAGTTTCCAACCTTTTCTTTTCTTTCTTTTTTTGAGGTGGGGTTTCACTATTTAGTTCAGGACTTCAACCTCACTGGGTAGCCCCAGCTAGCCTTGAACTCATGGCAATCCTCCTGCATTAGCCTCCAGAATACTGGGTTTACAGGTATGCACCACCACACCCAAATTAAAACAACTCTTTATAAGTGTACTGGCAACATAATATCATAGAAAAACAGGGTACTTACAGGAGACTGGCCGCTTCCTGGAATGCATTGACAGCTGCTGGAATATCTCCCATCACCAGATGTTTCTGTCCTAACCCTAACAGCTTCTTAGCTTCATTATCCACATCCAGACTGCAAGAAGATTGTATTTTAGATCAAATACTGTTCAAATCAACAATCCATAAACTTTGGGACTACCACAACCAAGATCCAGCTAACTCACATGTTTTGTCGCTGCAAAACCAAATCTCAAAGACAATATTCTCAGAAGTTTCAACGTAATATTTTAAAGTTTTATTTACTTCATGAAGTCTCCATTTGTTACTATAAGTAACTACTAACCAAGCAATATAAAGGACCCATTATTTATACAAGCTGTATGAGAGAAAAGAAATAAAATCAAGAAACAGGTAAATAGGACAAGACATGGTCTCAACATGAAGACAATGTGACACTGGCATAAAGTAAGGCAGACAGAGGCCAGGCATGGTGGCACACACTTGTAATCCTAGCACTGGGGAGGCTGAGGCAGGAGGATCACCACAGCCTGAGCTACATAGTGAATTCAAGAGGTTTTAGCAAAAATACAGAGCAATGAGAATTTGCATGCCCTGCTGACAAAAATGTAAAGTGGTAAAATCACTTTAGAAAACAGTCAGGAATTCTTCAAAGTTAAGATTATACATTTACAACAAAAAGAGCAAACTGTTGATAATATATGACAACATAAATCTCAAAATAATCATGTCCAATCAAAGAAGCCATATATAAAAAACAGCAAAACTAGGCAATACATTTAGATTAAATTCTAGAACATACAACCTTATGTACAATGACAGAAAATAAGACTAGTGGTTGCATGGGGAGGAAATGAAGTACAAAAGAGCACAGGTAGTAAGTACATTTATTGTCTTGATATCATCATGGTTTCCAGGTATCCACACATATCAAAACTCAACAGCTGTGGTGGCACATGCTGAGGCAAAAGACTACCAAATTCCAGGCCAGTTGGATCACCTACACCTACTAAGATGGTCTCTTCAAAGAAACAAGAGAAGGGAAAGGGAAAGGGAAAGGGAAAGGGAAAGGGAAAGGGAAAGGGAAAGGGAAAGGGAAAGGGAAGGGGAAGGGGAAGGGGAAGGGGAAGGGGAAAGGGAAAGGGAAAGGGAAAGGGAAAGGGAAAGGGAAAACGAAAGGGGAAGGGGAAGGGGAAGGGGAAAGGGAAAGGGAAAGGGAAAGGGAAAACGAAAGGGAAAGGGAAAGCGAAAGGGAAAGGGAAAGGGAAAGCGAAAGGGAAGAAAGAACGAACGAACGAACTAGTTCAATGCAACTGACCTGAGTTCAACTAGTTCTACTGCAAAAGTAAAGCATCAAAGAAAGGGTTTCACTTTAAAGTAATGTGCAGAGTCGCAACCAGACACTGGAATATAGCATCATAAGGAAAACAAGGAGGCAAGTGGTTCCACTGGAACAAGGAAAAATCTGAAGTGGGAACTGAAAGCCATAGACAACATAAGAGCAAAACTGCAAAATGTTCTGAAGGATATTCTAGAAAGAAATATAAGAACTACAGCTCCATGAATGCCAACAGAAGGAATCCACCAGGCAAAGAAAACAATTAGAGGAAAGGGGTGAAAAAGCAAGGGAGCCAACATGAAAACATGACAAGGGTTAGTCAATACATAGCAGTTATAAACAATTGGTGTTTAAAAAATTGACATTAATGGTTATCAATTCACTATATCAAAAGACATAGACTAATGAACTCAGGAATAGATTTTTAAAATGTATCTTTATAAAGGAATACTACTCAGCCATAAAGAATGATAAATTTGAGGCTTTTATTTTTTATTTTAAAGAGAATAAAACAAAACAGAGGAAAGCATATTAGAACACAACAATACAAGCAACACAAAACAAGACAACAGGAAATCAACAGTGGCTACCATAATGTCTCTTATTTTCTTCAAAATAGCTGTCCATACCTTCACATATAATGGAATCAATAGAAAACAGACTAAAACCAATCAAAAGAATAAAAGCATATCAAAACTTCAAAACCAGGTTACAGAAAACAATGGTTACTATATAATGTCTCATTTTCTTCAAAATGGTCATTCAAACTATCATACATAATAAAATCAAATAAAACACAACAGATTAAAACCAATCAAAACAAAATAAAAGCACTATAGGAATTCAAAACAAGATAGGAAATTGGCTGGGATTTAGCTCAGCAGCATAAGCGCCTGCCTTGCAAGCAGGCATTCATGAGTTCGATCCCTGGTGCCAATAAAAAGGAAAAAGACAAAAAAAAAAAAAAAAAAAAGATAGGAAATCAACAATGGCTACCATGATGTCTCGTTTTCAAAATAGCTTTTCATATCATCACATATAATAAAATCAAGCAATAAAACCAATTAAACAACAGAATAAAAGCATTATAGGGCTTCAAAGCAAGGTAACAGGAAACCAACCACGATTGCCATACATCCCATTATGTTCAAAATAGGTGCCCATGCCAGACACAGTAAAATCTAATAAAACAAGACAGAACAAAACCGAACCTAACAAAATTGTGAAAACAATACAAGAGTTCAAAACAGTGAGAAATTAACAGTGATTAGCACCTTCCTCTCCTGGATGTTTCCTCCCCTATCAGTTTTATAATATCTATTGTGCTTTTTGGATCCCACTAACTCCTTCGATTTTTTTATGGAGTTCAAATCATTTTGGCCAAGAACATGATCTCCAGTTGCATCCATTTACTTACAAAAGCCTCGAGATTATCCTACTTTATAGCTGGGTAGCTTTCCTTGTATGAAAATACCGTATCTTTCTTATCCATTCTGCAGTTGATGGGCAAGCTACCCTTGCTTTTTTCTGGTCTCCTATAGAACAACTCTTTTCTCACTTTTGATTTTCAGTCTATTAATTTCCTTTAGTTAAATGTATTCCTTATATATAGTATATTGATGAATCTGTTCTTGATCCTTCCTGTATTTTTCTATTGGTGAATTGAGGCCATCTACATAATAATTACACTTGAATACATTGGTTTGTCACGCTATTCTTCTGCCATTGGCCCTGTACTTTTTCCCTTTAATTCAAATGCTTATTCTGTTTGGCAATCTGCTGCTGCTGTCCTTGGAACTATGGTCATCTTTATCTCTCTCTAGAATATCCTTCAGCACTCTCAGTAGAGTTGGCTGATAGACATGAATTCTTTCAGTTGCTCCTTCAGTTGTTCTTTATCATGGAAGTATCTTATTCTTCCATCAATTTTGAAAGACAGTTTTACAGGGTACATTAATCTGAGTTGGAAGTTGCACTCCTCCAAGATTTGAAACACTTTACTCCAAACTCTTTTTGACTGGATTCTAATTGGTTTTCCTTTAAAGGTATCTGTCTCTTTTCTATAACACTCTTTAATATTCTGCTCTTGCACTGAATATATGGGATCTTGAGGTCTCAGTGTAGATTTACTTTGGTTATGGCTACTTGGAGAGCTATATGCCTCACTTACCTGTATGTCAGATCCTTTCCCCATGTTTGGTAAGTTTTCTATTACTTCTGTAAATAGTCTTATTTCATTTGTGTTGATCCCCACTTCTTCACTGATACCTATCACTCTTAAATTATGTGTGTCTTGCAGCCCTTTTCTTGTTATTCCTGGTTCCCTGCTATTTCTAAAAAATGAGATTTTTCCTTTCAAGATCACTAGCTCCAATTCTGTCTTCAAGGTCTGAAAGTCCATGTTCAGTCTCTTTCAAGCAGTTTTTCCAGCTTTCAATCAACTTTTTAATTTCCTGAGTTTCTCTCTAAATCTGTTTCATGCATTGTAATTCCTTTCTATATTGTTCATTAAAGGTTTCCACCATATTCCTACTCTTCTTTTTTATGTCTTTATATATACTCAGCCATTCTTTCATTAATTTGTGATTACTTTCTTTTACCTGAGGCATTATTTCTGATCTAACTACTTACTTTTACAGTCTTGCAAAGTTGTTTTTTTACTTCAGTTGCTATCCTTCCTGAGATTTGAGGTGTGTCACTTCCATTTTCTTCTATGACTGTTTCTCACAGTTCTGTGTGGGCAGTAGGTGTGAGATTGCCTTTTGCTCCTTTGTCTTGACATTCTTCTAGGTTCCTCCCAACAAGCTGATTTTAGGGCATCCAGGTTGACTCCCCTTGTGGTATAAGGGAAGGGACAGGCACCAGGTTCCCAGGGAGTAGCAGGTTATGGGGCAGGCTTCCCCAGACCCATGCAGCTACACTGGGGCTACCCCAATGGCCAGGGCTGTGCGGTGGTAAGGCTGTTTCTTCTCTCAGCCTGTGTGTCCTTGATTGCTGAAACAGTAGCAGGCATACAAGAGTGTGTTGTCTGATTCTCTTGGTGGTTGATGGCTACCTGAAAGAAGCAAGGGTCTCCAATGGTGGCCTGCAGGTTCATGGGGCTTACCTAGGTGTGTGTCCCTGCCCACGGCCCGCTGACCATGAAAGGCAAGCCTTTCTGATGGTGGTAGCAGGCAGGCAGAGGCACATCTACCTAGGTCTCTCTGCTTATGCTGATTGCACATGGGAAGCAAGCCTTCTGATGGCGGAGACCAGCAGGCAGAGGCATATCCGGCTTCACTCTGCCCCCACTGGGCGCACAGAGGAAGCAAACCTTCTGATGGCAGCCGAAGTTGAAGCATTTAAATAGATGCAACCAGAAACCACACTCATAAATGAAATAAATCAGACTTCCATGTGTAAACACTGAATTGTCTGTCTTGCTAGGGTAAAAAAATGGAAAAAGGTCCAAAAGTTACAATACATATAGTAAAAGGAAAAGAAACTGCTAAAAGGGAAATTTTATTGTTTCATCAACTTTGCATGCCTGTATCTGGTAGCCTGAGCAATTACTTTGAGGATAACTATGCAATAATAACCACTGTTAAATTCGTATCTTGTTTTGAAATTCTGTATTGCCATTGTTTTGTTGTTGTTGTCATCGTCCTCATTTTGCTTTTGTTGTTTTTTAATTGTTTGTTTGCTTCTTGATTTTAGTGTTTTTCCTCTTTAAAATAAAAAAAAAAGGGGGACTGGGGATTTAGCTCAGTGGCATAAGCGCCTGCCTTGCAAGTATG